GAGTCATCAGCCCAGAGCCCGACGCGGGGCTCGAACTCACGGACCACGAGATCGTGACCTGAGCTGAAGTCGGACTCTTAACCGACTGCGCCACCCAGGCGCCCCTCATTTTTTTTTTTTTTTAAAGAGAGAGAGAGAGAGAGGATATGAGTGGGGGAGCGGTAAAGGGACAGGGAGAGGGAAGAACCCAAGCAGGCTCCATGCCCAGTGCAGAGCCCGACACGGGGCTCTCCCCCACGAACATGAGATCATGACCTGAGCCAAATTAAAGAGTGGGATGCTCAACCGACTGAGCCACCCAGGCGCCCCGACAAGTGGCTCCTCTTAATGGGCTTAACCCATTTTGTTTTAGGACAAAGACGTTGCTCGACTCCAAGATTTCCAGGAGCTGGAACTGGTTTTAATGATAAGCGAAAACAATTTCCTGTTCCGAAATGCTGCGTCCACACTGACTGAAAGACCTTGCTACAACAGGAGAGCTTCTAAACTGACATACTAAGTTCAGCAGGGACTTTTATCGCTGAGTATTGTGACAGTGCGCGTCACCTCCGGGCCAAGGACGAGCCATGGATCTAAACGTCTTGGGCGCCCAGGAGGGCCCCGGTGCCACTGCGTCGTCTACACTAACATCGTTCTGCCATGGTAGGGAGCCCCTGACCCCCCGCAGCGGTGCCACTCTTCCACGCCTCTTGGTGCACAATAAACCTCCTGCTTGAAGCGGTGAACAGCGGAGAAGCTGCAGAGGCCGAAGCCGGCGCTTCTGAGCCCCTGTTTCCCGTGCCCAAGCTAAGTGAGCCGTCTCAGCAGAAGCGGAGAGGGAGCGGAGCGCGGCTGTCGCCCCTCCTGCGGACAGTGCACCTGCAGGGCTTTCTTGGGACTTGCACGCTCACCGCTCTCCTAAGTGTGAACCGGCTAGAGGGGAAATTGGGGAAAGCACACTGGACAGATGATTTCTAGCGCGACTTGGGGCTGTGAGGTTTCACATAACATATTTACCAATGTTACTCAGGTTTAAAGTATTTAAGACTACAGTTACCTACTTGTAAATATGCTGTTAACCAAAAGAGCTGCCCCTCCCCCTCTTTGCCCTTTGTGAACACTCCAGACTGCTTCCCTGTCTCCCGGGTCCGCCTTTGCCTGGACAGTCGTCTCTGCATTGACTCTGTGGTCACTAGAGGGCTCTCTGATGCTTTCCAAAAGAGCAGCCGCTTTTTTTTTCTTTTTCTTTTTCTTTTTTTCTTTTCTTTTCTTTTCTTTAAACCTCTGAAGTGATTCCTGGCCTCTCCGTGTTTAACCGCACCGTCCGAGAGGAGCACGAACATTGCCGGCCCGTGTTCCCCACTTGCGTTCCCCACTAGGCACGAAAAGCAATTTTTGAAACCGAATCTGTTGCTGTTTTCCAGGTGATTGTGGGAAACTGAGCTAAAGGAGTTAGCGTCTTTATTTTTGTATCAAAGATAAAGGTTATTTTGAAATTCCTAGGGTTTTTACACAACTCCGAAATCTGTTGCTTTTGTAAACAAATTGTTTGCCCTTAGGCCTCCCCCACCACCACCCACCCATCCGCTTCACCGAGGCGGTTTGTGAGCCTGCCAGGCTTTGTTCTGGAAAACACCTGATTACACTCTTGATTCCCTTCCTTTCTTTCGGTGTCATTAACGTTAAAAGAGCCACTGTCTTGTCGAAACCAACAGCTTCACTTTAGAAATAAGAATGAGCACACTCAGACGAACAGGAGGGCAGGGGTTCGAAGCCAGCTGTCGAAGAGCATCCCTGCTGTCTTAAGAAGCTTTTTCCCCATAGTGCCTAAATAGTTTCCAAAGAAACTTAACTTCCTAACTGTGTTAATTTTATTGGAACGCTGCGACTGATTGCTGATGGAGCGAGAGCATGCAGACGACGTCAATGGAGGAGAATGTTGGGCCGAGATAATGGCCTCCCGTTGCTGCCTCAGTGCTGAGCTGAGGTCGAGGCCGTCCTCAAGGCCGGCTTTGTGGAATCACTCCGTTCAGTGAGTACACCTTAGTCCACCGATTCCTGATGGTGACTCACTCACCCTTGTACGGTGTTCGCACAGCAGAGTCAGACTCCCGCAGGGAAGTTACTTATTACCCCTTCCCTGAAGTGCTTTAAAGAAGAAACCGCCCTGGTGGTTCAACCAATCGGAAGCTAGTTTACCGAGACATACTAACCTTCTTTCCTTCCCTTTGGAAAAAGTGACAGTTTACTGATAACACTAAGGCTAGCTCTATCCTGGCAGAAATAAATCCGGTATTAATTCATGTCGAAATCACTGGGGTTAAAACTCGTCTAACCATTTAGATCAGTTAGAGACTCAGAAGCAGTGGAGGTCCCGGCCGGGAGGTGGCCTACCGAGTGGCTGCAGGGCATTCCCCCGCCCTGGTTCAGAAACTGGCGAGGGCGAGGGAGAGGCTTGGTGTCTCAGGTGAGGGATGAGCCCGACACTGTCCTCCCTTCTCCCTTGTAAAGTCCTCTGTGGTCACCTGACTCCCGCCTAAGGCAGTTGGATGAGACTGACAGTTGCCGGTAGGTGAGTTTAAAGTCTTAATCTATGCATTCAGAGAAATATTTTTATATGCTTTGTGTAATTTATAACAAGGATTTTTTTTTTTAGCTTTGTTAACTGTGAATTCACCCCCCCTCCACTGCATATTTAAAGCATGTGTTCACACCGTGTGTAAACATTCACCGAAGATTGTTTTCTTTGTGCATTGCCGACTGTTCAAACATAACCAGTATTATTAAAATTAAAATATTAACGAACCGAGCCCATATTCTTTCATTTGGGCCTCCTAAGCAGCACTGTACTCCTAATCACCGGGGGTTCGAGTTGTTGGACAGTCCCGGGGACACGGTGCTCTAGGGGAAAAATCGGAGGGACCGTTCGCCCAGCTGAGGCTCCTCCGTCTTGCTGCCACCAAGGGGCTCGTGCCCGTCAGTGGCACCCACAGACACTTTGTGCAGCGCCTTTCCTCCCGGCTCTCAGCGGCCAGCTTCCTTTCCCTGGAGGAGGTGAGCCGGCTAGATGGAGGTCATCCTCTAGTGACCACATTTTTCAATTAGCCTATTTACTTTATGCAACCGAGCCTCTCCTTTGGGCTGCCGGCACCTGTCAGGGCCTCCATGAGCTCAGAAACAGACTCCCAAGGCAGGAGAGGAAGTAACAGCCTCCCACCTTCAGATCTTTAGCTGAGCGTGATGCCGAATGAATCTGCGTTTCTGTTGGGTTAGGGCAGCTAGAACCTCACAAAGCGGACGTCATGCCAAATTGGCCTAATAAATCAGGGAGCATAGCAGAGACCTTTTCTTAGCACCAAGGAGAGGCAGAATAATTTGGGCATTTGGGCTTTCATACTCGCTTTATCACAAGGATGGAAGTCTTCTTCTCTACACTCATAAACATCCTGGGCAGAAACAGGCTGCCAAAAAAAATGCGATTAACCTTTAACAAATGGTCCTGCAGCACAGGCTGACCCAATACATACAGGAAAACCAGATCAAAGGAGCCATCTCCGCACCTACTGCAAACCATTTAGGGAAGAAAGACAAACTATCCCCTACAACCCGTCACATCATACCAAGCAGAAAGGTCGAGGAAACGAGAGGGTCAGACACCGGAAAACTCAGTAAGGTAACAAAGAGAAGAGATCCGTTCCAAATTTCCAAATACGCCTTGTGCCAGGTGGACTCTGACCCACAGGAAATGAGCGCTCTGTCGGTTTGCTCTAAACCAAATTTAATTCGGCCCCTCATCTTGCTTATTGGCCCGAGACTGTCAGGGCCAGGGGCTCCTCTGGGCTGCTCTGTGCTCTCACGTGCAGCTTTGGCCACATTGAGGAAGACAAATGGCCCTGAGGCCTCGCTGGTTACGAGGACCTGTCTGGAATAGACTTGTTTTTTTGTTTTTTTTTTTTTTTCAGTTTATTTATTGGCAGATGAAGAGAGTCAGTGGGGAGGGGCAGGGAGACAGGGAGAGACAGAATCCTAAGCAGGTTCCGTGCCGTTGCCACAAAGCTTGATGCGGGGCTTGAACTCACAAACCAGGAGATGATGGCCTGAGTGGAGATCAAGAGTCAGACAATTAACTGACTGAGCCACCCAGGCGCCCCTGGCATAGACTACTAAAGGAGCAAGGGAGTAAAAGGCACCATGCACATCCCAGCCCCTAGAGAAGCAGGCTTGGAGGTCTGAGGGATGGCATGAGGGAGGCATTCACAGCAGCCTTCCCAAGAGGCCTCGGGTCCGATTTCAGGGGCTTTATTTCTCGCCTTTGCACAGTATCTGCACAGCAGAGCAGGAACTATTGGCAATTACCCAGTGACTTTTGGCTGTAAAGACAATATTTCTAGCCAAAAGCTCTGGAGACTGAAGTTTTCAGATAATCCCAGCCATGTAGATGTACATAAAGTCTGCCTCCACCTCTCTCCCTCCCTCCCTGCCTCCTGGAAAGGCCCTAACCCCCAAACGTTATGAACAGGCAGAGAAAGGCTGCATCGGGGTATACGTATTGTTGACCATGTCGCTTTATTTCATCAGTGCTCCATTTTTAATGGATTCAGGCCAGCACCCCAGAGTACAGGACTCAGTTCCTAAGGACACCCTGACCCGGCAGTCTGCTGTTCCAGGAGGAAAAAGCTTTACTTTAAAAAAAAAAAAAAAAATCCTTCTGAGCAGAAAATACAAAAAATCAGACAGAGTGGAGAGGTCATTCCATGAAATGACTGAAAACAGCAGAGCGTGGCAAGAACACTAGGTTGGGAATCAGGAGACCCCGGGCACCAGTCTGGGCTCTGCCTCAAACTAGCTGTGGCCTCGGGCCCGTAGTTCACCTCTTGGGCCCCACTTCCTCATCTAAAGCATTTAGCACAATTATTCTGTGAGGCACTTTGCAGGGCAAGAATCTAGCAAATGCCTCCAGTGTTTGCCATCAAGTCCATCCTGCAGACGTGCTTGGTGTCTTTTTCTCTCCTGATGAAAACCAGCAATGGCCAGGAGCAAGTCCCAGGAATATATTTTAGACAAGTCCAGCGTCTCTGGCCATCCCGTAGAAGATGCCTCTGGCTGCGATGAGGTTGGCTGGAGAATCAAATTCAGCTACTGTCCCTCTGTCCAGGACAAGGACCCTAGCCAAAGAAAAGAAGTGGTCAGGTCTCCATCAGTTTCGACCTGGCCCTTACCGTCCAACTCTGCCCTTCTGGGTCCTGCTCAGGCCCTGCGGGGACATGCCAACCCTCCTGCTTCGGGAGACCCACCCAACACAGCCACTAGGCCACATGTGCACGCTCGCAAGGCTGGTTATTTTAGCTGCTCCGTTTGCTCTCCTAGCAGATGAGACCGTTTCTGGGATCAAACACAAGGTTCCTATTCATCTCTGCTCTTCGGGCCTCTGAAAACCTTCCCTAATGAGCCCTTCCCTCAACCGGGGTCACAGGACTGTGCGCAGGGAGCCACGGGCCTGTGCGCTGGGCCCTGTGCGCTCCTACCTGCTTTGTGCCAACTCACAAAGGCACACGGCAGGAAACTGGGCTGCACGGAGGCCTGACACTGGAATCTGGGACTTTGGCTGCATATCTGGTTGCTGCTGATGGAGGGATCTACACATACACACACACACACACACACACACACAGTCAGGTCTGGACCTGGGATTAGAATCCCCTGCCAATCAAGCACGGGGTGCACCTGGTGCAGGGCTAACAGCCTGACTCCCGGGGTGAGGCAGGAGCGGAAAGGGCTCCCCTGAGCCCGGCGCGATGCTCCTGGATGGGAAGGGATGGGCCTCACTCTGTTCCCTTACCTACAGGGCTCCCGGAAACACGTCCTGGGAAGGAGTGTGTCTGTGCACATCTCTGCCTGGTCACTGCCCGAACGAGCCCGGGAGATGCCCCTCCTCCCTTCAGTGGTTTCTCACTGTTCCCTAGGGTACCGACTGCTTCCCCAGGGTCCTCCAAGTGCAGCAGAGTGGGGCCTGTCCCTCTCTCCTCCTCATCTTGCCTCCACTGCCCCCTTCCCCCTCTGCACTCCGGCCTCATGTGCCCTCCTACCTTTGCCTGAAATTTGTATCTGTACCCCATCTCCTCGCCCACTCCCCAACTCTTACTCATCCTGTAGGGCCTGGCTGGTGCTTCCTTTCCTTAGGAAAGATAGTGTCCTGGCTGCCCTGTGTGGATTGGCTTTCTCTTCCCTACATACACATACCCCTGCTTCCTTCCCGCAGGCTCTCCTTACACGTTTGATAGCAGGAATATTTGATTAATTTCTGCCAGTCCCACTAGAATGAATGAACTCCCAACCTCCAAGGTTGGTTTGAGCCTTCTATCCTCAGGGCTACCAGTGACCGCCGTCTTCAGTTAGGCCTGAGAACAGATCCTCTCAGCCCACCCCTGTCCCTTGTCTGGACCCAAGGCCTGGCACCTCTGTCTGTCCTCTCTTCTCTCAGTGGGGGCCTGGTTAGGGGTGGGGTAGGGGTGGAACAGACAGACGGTAGCATTGGGCATTCTCGGCTTGGTTCCCAAGCCCCCGGGGGCTGTGTGGGGACACTTCTGAGGCAGGGACAAGGTCTGCCCATTGCCCTATCCATGGCATCCTCCCTACCTCCCCGTGCCTGGAGATGTTTATTTTGTGAATAAAGCCTTATTGATGTACTCCCACCACACTCCTTCGACACAGATTTATCTCAGCTTCCTCCTCTTCCTTTTTCTGAGCTCCCACATCTCCAAGGGGGCCAGTCTGCCAGGCCACTGCCACGTCACTTCCGTGAGGCTTCTGATCCCCCTGCCCCCGACCTTGTCCTCCAGCCATCACACCTTAACTTTGGACACAGTGAGGGAATAGGTCCCAGATTTTTCTTTTGGCTGAGTGGCTGCCTCCCCAGGGAAGGCGTGGGATTCCCCAGGGCAAGGCCCTTGCCCTAATCCTTAGAGGAGGTTATGGTAAGAGGCTGGGGGAGAAACTAACACTTTCCAGGGTCGCCTGCATTTGAAACGCTTCATTTCGTTGACTCCTTACAGCAACCCCAAGAGAGAGGTTCTGCACCTTGCCCAAGGTCACACAGCAGTCAGCAGCTGCCGGGGCTGGGGCTCAGCCCTCCGCTCTCTCACCACAGGGTGTCTGCTCCTGAGGGTCCAGGCTGTCAGGGTCCAGCCCTCTGAGGCAGGTACTCTAGCATCATGCACTTCTGTTAGCGGCTTCCCCACCTGTACACCCAGCTCGGATTGTGGGAGCGACGTACAAAGGGATGGCCACGCGGGCCCTCTAAAGAGGCAGGGTGCTCAGGGAGTGAGGGTTTTGTCATGAAGGACCCGGTTCCACCTCATAGCATTAACAGAAGGCGGCAGGGAGGCAGCGTGGGCACAATTCACGATGCCTAGGGAGCCCCAGTGTGCCCCTTCCCTGCACGTTGGTGACCTCAAAGTGTCCCGTGTGTCTCAGAAAACATCACTGTGCCCACCGTGGGTAGATGACTCCACTCTGTCCTGCCCCTTACCTATAACTTGGGAAGCCCTGCTCTGTCCCTCATGCCTAGACAATCCCATGAGCTCCCCCGTGTCCAGGTAATCTGCATGCCCGTTCCTGGTGACCTAGTGGGTGGGTGGGTTCCCAGCCCACGCTGGGAATGGGCAAGGCAGACATCTCGAGCTGGGTGCCCCCACCTGCCCCCAGGCAGGACTCCCTGAACTGCTTCTGTCTGCATTCCTTCCCAAAGGCCCAGGACTGGCTTTCTGTCTAACTTCTCCCATTTCTGCCTCAGCCCAGTCCTCCTGGAACACGGAGTCACGGAGATCTGGATCCCACAGCGCTGATGAGGGGTCTGGGGTAGAGCAGTGCTCAACAACACTGTGAAATCCCGGTCTGTCTCTGGCACCCCGGCTTCCTCCTTCTGTGTCTTTTTCCCTGTCCTCGCTCCTCAGCTAGTGCCATGATGCTTCTCTGCTTCTATCAGTCATTTACACTCTAGAAAGAGCACACCTAAATGGCTCTTCCCGGATATTTGCACGCATTGTCATCTTGCCGAGCCTAATGTCACACAATCCAGACAGTCATCTCCCAGCCCCATGGGGGAATATAGGCCGGGGCTCTGTTGTGAGGACAAGAAGGGTCAGGGACACGGGGACTCCCGAGTCTGGTCACTGGGGAGGTGGAGGAGAGGTGGGGCACATACCTTCAACCTCTTGCCTTGGAAGCCAGAGCTAGTGAACAAAGCGAGGCTGTGTTCCCAACCACAGAGGCTGCTATAACCCCACACCCAAGGACAAATACCTCAGCCTTTCCCAAAGGGGTGAGTCACCGCAGCCCAAGTGAAGGCCAGGTTCTCTCGCTGGCCCATTCCCGCAGCTAATGAAGGTTCTGGCATCAGAGTGAGCCTCCAGCTAGAACTCAGGGCTGATTTATGGTAGGACTGGCACAGGATGCAAGTTCTGCTTATTAAAGCGGCTACAAGCTCAGTGAGGGTGGGGGGTGTGGGGGCGCCGCTGTGTCCCCCCCCGTCTGCCACGGGGGGGGGGGGGGATGGAGGGGAAGCTCCAGGAGAGGTGCTGACAGCAAGCAGAGGTAGGAAAATGGAGCAAAGCCAGCTCTGGGTGCAGGGTCTGGAAGCTTGTGCTTATCCACCAGCCACCCCAACACGGCTGCGTAAATGAAATCCCGTTGAAGGGCATATTCAGTCTCCCGGGACTAGCAGGGGAAGTGGGGGGCGGGGGGCAGGGCCATCCCACGCATGGCTGTGACACAGCGATGAAGGGTTTGGGGCAAAAGCCCTGGCTTCCCTGAGTCCCTGCCCCCCCTTCTTGCTAGCTGAGACGCTTTGGGCAATCATTTTATGCATTGGAGCCTCATTCCTGGCCCACAGGACTGCAGCAAAGATTAAACAAGATAGCGGATGCCAACGTTCTTTGAACGCTATTAAGTGCTGAGCAAATGTAAAGGTTTTTGTTTTTGTTTTTGAGGTCTGGAGAGAGTCCATGGGTGTGGACCCAGCAGACTAATACGAAGAAGAATAAAATAGCTAAATATCTCAGGAGTGTATCCAGGCTAAGTGCTTTCTATTTCATCCCAATGACCTCAAGACTGCTCTGTCCAAACGATAGCCACTGGCCACGTGTGGCTATGGAGCACTTGAAATGCGGCTGGTCTAAATTGGGATGTACCGTAAAGGTAAAAGTCCACACGGGGGGGTTCAAACTTAGTATGAAAAAAATGTAAAATATCCCTAATAATTTTTATATCAATTACTTGTTGAAATGGCAACATTTTAGATAGACGGGGATAAATGAAGTACACTTTTCAAATGTATTCCATCTATTTCTTTTCTTTTCTACCTGCTCCTTTTTCTTTTTTTTTTTCCAATGTTTTTATTTATTTTTGGGAGAGAGACAGAGCATGAACGGGGGAGGGGCAGAGAGAGAGGGAGACACAGAAGCGGAAACAGGCTCCAGGCTCCGAGCCATCAGCCCAGAGCCCGACGCGGGGCTCGAACTCACGGAGCGCGAGATCGTGACCTGGCTGAAGTCGGACGCTTAACCGACTGCGCCACCCAGGCGCCCCTATTATTCCCATTTTAAAGGGAAGGAAGAGGTAGAACAGAGAGGTTAAGCAACTTGCCCCCAAATCACACAGCTAACACAGGTGTGGGAATCAATCGCAAGCCTTTAGACTTAGTAAGAAGTGACTCCCGGCCCTCCCTGCTGCACAGCCCGGGGGCTGTGGATACAACACTGGGGTGGTAAGAAAGCAAAGAAGGGCTTGGAGAGCTCACTTCGCTCACTCGGAAACTTCAGAAGGACTTGCAGAGCCATCTTGGGAAATATCTGTGAGCTACCTAATGCACCGCAGGTTTTGCTCTTACCTGATCCAAGGGCTCAGTACAGACCCCCACCCCAGGCCAGGCACAGCATTGACAACCTCGCAGGACAGGACTGACTATGGTTTTGGAATCTCCCGGTTCCAATCCCAGGCATGCCTTCACCCAGCTAGGTGACTTTGGCTCCGCCTCAGTTTTCTCATCCGCAAAGGGGGACCATCACCACCTCGGGAGCTTGTGTGAGGCGTCAGTGAGATCCCACAGAATATGTTCAATACGAAACAACAGCCCCGCCCCCCTCCCCCGAGCGCCCCCAGACTGAGACGGGAGTAGGGAGGGGGCTGTGGCCTGGACTCTGTGTCATTTGATACGAAGTCTTCTACCCCGGAGCACTGGAAGTCCAGGCCCTCCGGCTGCGAGCCCACAAAGGTGTGCAGGTGGGAAAGCTCCAAGGCTCGCCATAGATCTGCCTCCGAGTAATACCCAAAGGGGTCCAGGTTCATACGTAGGGACGCGGAGAACAGGATGGGGTCCTGGCGACACAACAAGGTCTCGGAAGAGGGCCGTTCAGGCCCCCTCAGGAGCCATGGGTCCCAGGGCCAGAGAAAAAGAAAGGAATTTGGGGCAGCGTTTCCTATTCTGTCCCCAGCCCTCCAGGAGGGAGGCAAAGGGCAGATAAGTGCCTGTGGGGAAGCGATAAACCCCAGCTTTGCCAATCAAAGTCGTCCACCAAAGCAGACAGAGGAACCGCTAATCTGACTCCAAAATGTCCAGTCAGCAGAAAAAAACACCCCAGAGGAGCTAGAAAAAGTGAAATGCAATTCCGAGTGGGGAAACAGGCAGACCAGGACAGAGCGTCTCAGGGGGATGGGGTACCTGAAGGGTCCTGCGATCCTGGTCTCAACTGGTAGCCCAGGTGGCCGGAGGGCAGCGTCTGATGGGGCCAGGATAGTCTGACCCCTTTCAGATCCATGACAGGTGGCTGCTCTGTGGCTCTGCTCCTGCTGTCAGGCTCTCCAGCCTCTCAGACGGAGGTCCGGGGCCTGGACCTCAAGCTACAAAGCAGGGTGGGGCCTGCCCCCCCAACCCCCAGGGCTGCTCAGTGCGGCCAGTCCGCGGCAGGCTTGTACCTGGGGGATGACGGTCAGCTGAGGACGCAGGTCGTGGAGTCCCATATCTGCCACGTTGAGGCCGTCAATGCGGATTTCACCTTCCGCGGCCTCCAGGATGCGGAACGGGCAGAGGGTCGTGGACGATTTGCCGGCCCCGGTGCGGCCCACGATCCCCGCCTGGAGGGAGTGAGGGGGGGCTTTCAGGGGGCGGGAGGAGTCAGCGGGCATCTCCAGGGCCGCCGGACTTCTGGGCTGCGGCACCTGCTCTCCCAAACGCTGTGGCCGCGTCCCCGGCACAAACCCACCCCTCGCGTACCTTCTCGCCAGTGTGCACGCGCAGACTCAGGTAACTCAGCACCAGCTCCAGGCCCGGCTGGTAGCGCACAGAGAAGTTCCAGAACTCCACTTCGCCCCGCAGGGACCAGCCTGCGGGAGGACGGCCGCCCTCCACCACCCAGGGGGCCTGGCCCAGCGGGGAGGATGGGTCTGCGTCAGGGTGGCCCCTCTTCCGCAGCCGAGCCCTCTCCCACTCTCTCCTCGGAGCCTGAGCTCCTCTCCCTGCCTGCCCTAGCTCCCTGAGTGGCCACTCTGTGACAGCTACCGGGGTCACAAGTCACAAGGTACCGCGCAATGGAGGGGCACACCATCAACAAATAAGCACATCTGCATAATGTAGCAAAGTGGCGAGTGCTGAGAAGTGTTTGGTGTTGTAGAAGTACAGGGTGGTCATGGAAGGCTTCCTGGAGGAGGTGATATTCAAATAAAGACCCAAAGCAGGGTGGGGGAGGTGACAAGCCAAGTAAATATCTGGGGTAAGGGCATGCCAGGCAGAGGGCACAGAAAGCGTGAATACCTCCCCAGATGTGTTCTGGAGCCTAGTGACAAAGTGAGAGGTAGGAGACAGATAGTGGGTGGCCCCCTCATGAAGGGCTTTGCAGGCCATTTTAAGAACCATGGTTATTATTTTTTTTTTTTCACTCCAAGATGCAGAGCCATCAGGGGCCATGTGCAGAGCAATGGCACGATTTGATGTGTTTTTAAAGGATCCCTCTGGCTACTATGAGGGGAAGGAGAGGGGATGATGGAAAACAGCGAAGCTAGTTAGGAGGTTCTTAAAATAAATTGGGCATAAGATGATGGTGGCTTTGAGACAGGACCAGCAACAACTTGGGAGGCTCAGTGCAAAATGCAAATGTGGGGTCTCTTGTTCGATAGTTATTAAGAATGTCCACGTGGTGACAGCACAGAGCATTAAAGCAGATGTAAGACCCTTCCTTCCAAGCGCGGGACCCGTGTGACTCTGCAGGTCACGTAAAGCCACCCTGCTTTGAGACAGGAGAAGCCAGACTGTCACCGGTCAAAAAGCAAAGCAGCCAGTATAGACCTCTCTCGAGAGGCCCCACCCTGCTTTGTAGCTTGACAGTTCTCTCGAGGAGTTGTCAAAAGATTGGGCAACAGGGTTGGGGGCAAAGATTTTTAGGCTACAGAGACAGATCGTGTCTATGGACAGGGGGAAATGGGAACGTTAGACGTGAAGAGGGAGAATTTAAAGATCCCTGCCACAGAGGATTGAGGGGGGTGATAGGAGATGTCTGGGGAAGGCAGGGGGGAGGCCGGGGGGGCCACGGGGGCAAGAGAGGCCAGGCTGAGAGGAACAGGTGAGGTGGGGGCTCAAAGGAGACTGACAGGGCAAGAGCTTGGGTCACAGACGCTATGAGGGAGGGCCTTCCAAGAAGAAGGCAGGGGTCATTTTGTCTGAACGTCACTGAGAGATTGAATTAGATGAGAACAAGAAAGTGTCCCCTAGGTTTGGAACCAGGCGGGTCATTGGTGGAGTGACAGGGCCAGAAACCAGACCGCAGGAGGCAGATGTGTTACAGGGTGACGGGGTTCCCCACTTCCCCGGGTGTGCTTTAAAACAAGCTTCGTGGGGCGCCTGGGTGGCGCAGTCGGTTAAGCGTCCGACTTCAGCCAGGTCACGATCTCGCGGTCCGTGAGTTCGAGCCCCGCGTCGGGCTCTGGGGCTGATGGCTCAGAGCCTGGAGCCTGTTTCCGATTCTGTGTCTCCCTCTCTCTCTGCCCCTCCCCCGTTCATGCTCTGTCTCTCTCTGTCCCAAAAATAAATAAAACGTTGAAAAAAAAAATTAAAAAAAAAATAAATAAAAATAAAACAAGCTTCGTGACAAAGGAGAGCAGAGAGACGGGGCCGTGAGATGTAAGGGGGAGGGGAGGTGGGTGTGTGTGTGCAGGACGGATGCTATGATAGCTCGTGTTTGCCACTGAATGGGAATCATCCAACAGAGGGAGCAGGCTGTAGGAAGCAGAGGGTATAATAAGGGGGGTGAAGTCTGCAGGGGTGGACTTTGGTAGCAGGAGGGACACTTCCTGCTAAAAGAGGAAGGAAGAGGTGAAGGGACCACAGGCAGCTGGAAAGTCTGGAGGCGAGAAGGTTGAGGGAGTTCGCATCTCACACCCTAGTTTTCTCACGGGCGAGTAAGTCACACAAGGTCCATGGCTGAGCAAAGGGCAGGAAATATGGGGGGTTGAGGAAAGAAGGTTCAAATGGCCCTTTCTGGAAGTGGGATCACATGCTTTTGGGGGAAGCAAAATAGAAATACCCGGCAGTGATGTGTGGTCACAAACCGGAAGTAAAATCAGTGATTTTCTCCAGCGATGTCTTAGCTGCTGAGTGTCAGCATGTAGAAGGTAGACAGAGGGGCCCGGCTGGGGAGGGGTTTTGTAGGCGAGGACCACTGACAGGAAGGAGGGCAAGGGAGTCGGGAGCATTGGCACCGGTGGAGCACAGAACCCGGCCTAGATGACCTGGGGGACAGAGGGACAAAGGTAGGCCACAGGGCTGGGGGTCCTAACGACGACAAAGTTCTGGGACAGCAGAGGGTTTGGGGCACGTGAGCTGGGAGGACTGGGAAGGGTGGTTTAAAAGCTTGACCTGAGATCTCAGAGATGCTGCAGCTGCTGGGTGTGAAGAGGTCTGGGGTGTGACCACAGGAAGAAGTAAGTGGAGAAGAGTCTGCATCTCCCCGCCGCCATTAGGGGACAACTCCGTTTCCCCAACAAAGGCCATGCTGCCCCACCCCTGCTCCTTCCACCGGCTAATCTCTGGCTGGAGTCCTGACCCTCCTGAACACCCCAGCTGAATGACCTTCCTCTTGTCCGCCCTCTTTGGGTGCATCACTCCAGGGCTCTTATCAGAGCCCTGTCTTCCCTCTCCCACAACATCAGAATCTGCTTGAAGAGAGACCCACCATGCTCAACTCTGGACCCTCTTCACCTCCTAGCATAGACCTCTGGCTGATGCTCGATAAGGGTTGAGTGGATGAATGAATGAATGAATGAATGAAGAATCCCCCAAATGAAGAGCTGGTCTTGGGATGTAGGGACGATGGGCCACCAAGCACCCTTCCCCAGCTATTCCAGAATCGCCCTGCCCAAGGCTCATCCTAGTACCCACCTCAGTCTCTATCTTGGAGTACTCCTTGACTCTCTCCACGGCCACGATGTTAGACTCCAAGTCTGACATCATTTGGATCATCCACGTCAGACTAATTGTTATCTGGCCAAAGGGACTGGGTCATGGATACGGTGATCTCCCCTCCCCCCAACAGCTATGGGAGGAGTTCCGACTCCCTGATTATGCTCCTTGCCTCTACGCCCCAGGTGGGCCTGGGCAAGCCCATAGGTGTGCCACCTGGGGCTCTATCACACCTGTATCTCAGGCAGTGACCTTGCAGACTTAACCAAGGACTACCTAGCCCAATGTTTCTCAAACTTTAACGTGTATAAGAAAGGTTCCCCAGAGAATCTTGTTAAAACGTCGCTTATGATTCAGTAGGTCTGTGGTGGGACTTGAGATTTTGTATTTTTTTTAAATTTTATTTTGAGACAGAGAGAGACAGAGAGAGAGAGAATCCCAAGCAGGCTCTGTGCTGTCAGCACAGAGTCCATCATGGGGCTCGATCTCCCAGTTCATGAGATTGTAACCTGAGCTGAAACCAAGAGTCAGATGGTGATGTTGATGTAACCGGTCCCTGGACCACACTGCATGCCAAGGAGTCTTGATAGGCATGCAGAATCCTGAGCCCCACCCTGGGCCTGCTGTATCAGAACTCACATTCCAGGTGATTCATAACACAGGAAAGCTTGAGAAGACTCATTTGTCTAGATTGTCCTTTGTTTACCAAAGCATTCAAGGCTTGAGCCCTCTGAGGCATTGAAAATGTGATCTAAGTCACAAAAATGCCATTTGCAGTCATTTAAGATTTTATTTTTTAAGTGATCTCTACACCCAACGTGGGGCTTGAACTCACGACCCCGAGATCAAGAGTCGCACGTTCCACCGACTGAGCCAGCCAGGCGCCCCACCATTTGTAGTTATTTAAGCCTTTGATAACACAGGCTGATGTCAGGTGACCAGCCCGCCCTCTACTCCAGACTCCAGTCACCTTCTCTGTGTACATTCTCTGCAGGCTTGTGAAATGAGGTATATTCCAGCCCTCTGCTTCCCTGCCCCAGGACTGCTGTCAGGGTTGTTGACCTTCTAAATCTCATGCACAGGCCGGACAAGCTCTGTTTCTCCTTTGGCGCCAAGATAATTTCTCCAACGCCAACACCCAAGGTAGAGAATCTCCTCCGGGGTCTTACCACATTTTGTTCCTTCCTCCACAAAGACCTGTTCACCCGGCATTACAATCCCCTGTTGGTTGAGAATGTCTCTCCATGCCTGACTGTGGGCTCACGGTCCTGGTGAGCAGAACCCGTGGCTGGTCCCCATACTGGGCAGAGCGAAAGCTCGGGAGATGATTGTGACACCTGTGTTGTCTCTGCCCCAGTTGTGGCCCCCGCCCCGGGGCCCGGACCCCTGCGTACCTGTAGGGCGTAGGACACAGAAAGGCCCACCAGCCCCGGACTCGGGCTGTTTCTGCCAATCACAGCAGAGAGTGCAGCAAAGAACACAACACAGTTCCCCACGGACTCCACGTGGACCCACAGCCACCTGTGGGAACAAGACAAGGAGGAAGTGGGGCAGGTACAGGAAGGGGGCAGTTTCCTGTGTAGGGGGGAGAGCCGGAACCCAGAACTCCAGGGTCTGTCCTGCAGAGACCCTGGTGGGAACTCTTGGAGGAACAGGGGGTGAGGGAAGAGGCTTGTGACCTGTTGGAGGCAACGTAGGGGTAGGAGCTCCTCATGTTGGTGTCCACCTTAGCATCACTGATGGCCTTGAAGTCCTGGCTGCGGCCATAGGCCCGAATGACGCTGGTGCCAGTCACCGTCTCTGAAAAGTGGGAGTATATGGGCGAGCGGCTGACGGAGTCCAGCCTCTTCAGGTGCCGTGACGTAGCCACATAGAAGCGCTGGCAGAGGACGGAGAAAGAGCTTGGGGTCAGCACCGTAGGACCCCTGACTCAGTCCAGCATGCCCTCTGAACCCATGTGGGCCTTCTTCCGGCCAGCCCCCTTACCCATAAGACTTGGCTACCTTTCCCTACCTGTGGCTCCATGAACTCATTCCACCCTTTCCCTTTGGTCGGCTCTGCTCAATCTTCCAGGCCACTTCCTCCACGAAGCCCTTCCTGAATCCCTCTCAGCTCCTGACCCCTTACCCCCCTGTAGGGGCCTGGATTGCAGTACGGACCTTGCGTGGCCTCCTAAATCAGTGAAGGTGCCTGTCTCCACTGAGGGGTCCCAGCAAGGTGCTCACACAGAATATCACAAGATTTGCAAAAATAAGATCATTTTGTATTCTTTTGCGTAAAGAGCTTTTCCCCACCCCAACTCCAGTTTTCTAAAACTTCAGCCCCACAAAAGCATGTTTCTGCCTCCAGTTTCCATCCTGTGGGCCCCAAGATGGCCAGGGCCTTACAGGATGGGTATCTGAGAGTCTCCTGTCCCTGCACAGAACACAGCCCAGATCGGGGACTCCCCACAAGGGCCTGAGCTTCCAGCCACCTTGTGGGTTACCTTCATCAACTGATTAAACTCATGGAAGGACAGGGGCTCAGACACGCAAAGGACTTCTACAATCAGCTGTAACTGAATGTTACCAAATCATCTATGTTAAACACATATATGCACATATATGTTTAGATATGTCTAAAAAAAGGGAAGGATAATGTGTCTCGCACGGTTAACAATATTTTATTTAAAAATAGGCAGCGGCAGGGCGGGGTGGGGGCGTCGCCTGGGTGGCTCAGCCTAATAAGCGTCCTATGCTTGATCTCAGTTCAGGTCGTGATCTCACGGTTCGTGAGTTCGAGCCCTGAATCGGGCTCCACCCTCCCTGACAGTGTGGGGCCTGCTTGGGATGCTCTCTCTCCCTCTCTCTCTGCCTCTCCCCTGCTCGCTCTCCCTGTCTCAAAACTTCAGAAGAAAAAATAGGCAGCAGGAAGGAGTTTCAGGGTCAGTCACAATGTACAAAGATTTCATTTTACCCTAACAACAACCCTATGTAGGTTCCAGGATTCTATTTTACAGGTGAGGAAAATGAATTTCAAAGACGTAAAGTAACCGACTACAGTCCCTAACCAAATCCAGCTGCAAGGTCCCTGGGTCCCCACCCCGGTGGCCAGTCCATACGAGAGCCCCGCCCACACCAGCGCCCCACCCACAGAGAGCCCCGCCCACACCACCGCCTCCGGAAAGCCACGCCTACACAAAAACCACGCCCCCTCGCTGGCTGCGGACCTGCCCCGCGATGTACAGGACAGCCAGAGGCAGGGTGACCACAGTGAAGAGCGGCGTGCTGGCTATGATGACCACGAAGGCGGAGATGGAGTTGTGGAAGGAATTCAGCGGCAAGAGGATGGTGGGGGCCAGAACCTCATCGATGACGTAGATGTCCTTAGAGAGCCGAGCCGGTTGAGGATCCGGCCTGAGGGCGTCGTATGGAAGAAGGACTGTGGCCAGCGCATCTTGTGCAGCAGCACCCTTTGAAGCGAGCGTGCAGCCTGGACACTCCCCACCATCAGCGTGATGGCTGATACCATCACCAGGAGCCCTGCTGGAGGAGGCGGAGGGGTGCTTATTCACTGGCCAGGTGGCGGGCATGCAGGGCAAGGTTAGTAGGTAGGGGGTGGCCACGGTGGCTGGCAGGCTCAGAGACAGAGCACTGCTGGGATGAGCTGGAGAGGCCCAGAGGCAGGTGGACTGCTAGGGTGGATTAGGGAGGCACTGGGGCCAGGCAATGGCTGGGATGATGGAAGAAAACACAGAGTCAAGGGCATCGTTTGAGGGATCCAGCACCTCCGATGTGAGGAAAATACCTCCGGCTGTCTCTGCACGCTCACCTTGCAAAACACTCAAGGCAGCATAGACACCCAGCCTCACGGAGGTGTTATTCTGTCGGCCATCCACCATAGCCTCATCGCTCCAGGCACTGAGCCACACGCTGGCCCCGATGGCAGCCACACTATGACCCAGGTACAGAAGACAGATGGCCACTATGGTATAGAGCCCCATGCCCTCTATTGGCATAATCCCAGAACACACTCAGCTTCACCTGCAGGCCATGGCGGTCAAGGACAGAGGACTCTCGTGAGCCCCGGGACTGCTGGGGGCCTGCAGCAGGGTGGGAGAAAGGAGAAGCGGCTGGCTAGCTCGCCCTGCAAGCCACTAGTGCTCCCCGATCCCCACGCCAGAGAAGAGACCCGAGTGGACCAGCATGAGAGAACACGAGAAGCACGAGAGAACACGAAAGGGCAGCCAAGAACAAGAACGGAAGTAAACGATCAGTTTGGGGCTGGGGGAGGGGGAGGGAAAGGCGGCAAGAAAGACTTAGGTTAGATACGGAGAAAAACTTCCCTGCAGGGGCTATGGAGAAGGGGCCTCAAATATAAGGGTCAGGGGCTTGGGCTCTGGAGGCAGACTGGCTGAGCTTAAATGTCACTTCCTCCCTGCCTGACTTTAGGCAGGCAAGTAAAATGGGGATAATAATAGTACCCACTTGATCGTGTCATTGTGACTGGGAGGATTAAAGGGAGGATATGTGTGTCAAGTGCTTAGCAAGGGGCCCAGCACTTAGTAAATGTTCAAGTCATGTTAGCTGTCTATACAGCAGTAGGCAAGAAAACTCAGGAAAAGATCTGTGGGCCAGCCCAGGGTTTGGCGTTGGGGAGCCAGGACTGGACAACAAAGGGGGTGGGGGGTTTCTGGGCTCAGAGACTTCAAAACGCTCCAAGAGGACAAGGAATTTTCTATTCGGCCACGGCCATCTCTCAGTGCCGAGAGTAGTGCTAGGACCTAGCAATTACTCAGTCCATCTTCGCTGGTAACTAACTGACTTCTCCAAGCACTTGCAGATTTATCGAATGACTTCTCTGTGAGACAGCCTTGACATTCAGGCTGGGCCCGGGCCCTGATGCCCTTCGGACACAAGGGAAAAGTAGGGCTCTGAGGCCTGAGCTCCTGATAAGGTCACACAGGCAAGAGAAGGGAGAGGCACTTGACTACGTCCAGTTCGGTTTCCCTCTTGGTGACGTCTGATTGTCACGCAGATGGCCAAAGTTCCTCGGAACCTCCCTTGTGTGACACTGGGCCCATCCAGCGACAGGCACCCCAAGACAGGGGAGATGCCGGGAGGGCACAGGAATGTGGAGGGTCAGGGATGGTTACCGGTCCTGCTGCCTTCCTTCAGGTTCTTCTCAGGCTTGTCAGGTGCGTAGTTGCAGAGGAAGTTGGCAAAGGAGCCGCTGTGCTGCAGCAGGGCTGGGTAGGGGCCCGCCTCAGACACCTGCCCGTCAGCCAGCACTATGATGAAGTCCATCTGGGGCAGGAAGTTGATGCTGTGTGTCACCAGCACCCGTGTCTGGGGAGAAGACAGCAGGCCATCATTTCCACTGACCTCAGCACACACACCCCTGGCGTCGGCACAGGGGTGAAAGTCATCTCACACCCCTCACCCCAGGCTCACTGCAGCCGGCTCGGTGCCCCTGGGGTGTGTCCCCCCTCCCCGGGCTTCCCCTGCCACCCAACAGACGTTCCTTCTTCTCAGGCCTCCCATATCTCCAGGTCTCCTCCAAACCCCTTGGCCTCCCACTGCTTCTCTCCTAAGGCCCTAGATCTCTCCGTGCCTCCCCCACAACCTCCTGGAGGCCTCACCTTGCCTGCCAGCACACCTTCGGGCCCTATGACTTGGTCAAAGAGATGCTTGGCCACATGGGAGTCCACAGCTGACAGTGGGTCATCCAACATAAAAAGGTCAGCTTCCCTGTAAACAGCTCGGGCCAGACTCACCCGCTGTCGCTGGCCCCCAGACAGGTGAATGCCCTGGATGGAGGAGACAGGTGGGAGGTGTGTACTGGGGAGAAGAGAGTCAGACAGGCACAAGGGGACAAGGGCCCTGTCACCGTCATTCAACAAAGCAGACCTCTCAATTCTCATTTGATATGCCTGGTCTTGTCCCTGTGAAGCTCCGAGGCCATAGGAGAAGAGGTGGTGGCCCTCAAGCGTCCCCCAGGGGCAGGTGAGGACATCTGCTCCCTCTGCTTCACCACCCTGCCCAGCTGGTTGCCCTGGCTGCTGCCTGTATACTCTGAAAGGCTGGAAATCCCCGAGGAGGTCCTTAATAGACCTTTTAATCTGCCATCGCCCATACAGTTTGCAGATGGCTTTCATAACGGGGATCCCATTTGATCCTCCTATCAGTCCTTTCAGGGAGGTGTCATCAGCCCCACCTTCCAGATGAAGAAATTAGAGCCCAAGATGTTAATGACTTTGTCCAAGGTCCTGAACTCTCAAGAGCAGAAGCAAAAATGGAAACCCGGTTCCGGCCCCCGAATTCGTTAACCCTGGGATTGTCCAGGAGCCAGAGGAGAGGTAAGATCTCTCTTTAAACCCATGATGTGGAAACCGAGGCACATAGCAGCAGGGCTGGGCCCCGAAAGCAGACCCCAGAGGTGTGGTCTGCTTTCCCACCTCCAGCTTCCTTCATTCCCTCTGGAACAGGACCCAGCTTTTCCAGGTACCCTGAGAAATGCACCCAGAATGGGTTGGGGAGTGGCAAGTGTGGGATGGGAGCTCGAGATGCAGGGAGAAGCAGGGGGTGGGCACACAGCTGAAGTGACTGAGGCATGTGAGCATGTCTGCATTCAACGAACCAGGCTTTTTTGAGTGCCTACTAAGTGCTGGGCACTAAATTAGGTTTGTGTGTGCGCAAGGTTAGTGCGGCTCCAGGAGAGATGGGAAGGAGGGGTTGCATCATAGATGAGGAGGTCTCCTTTGGCTTCCTATAACCTCAGACTCCCATCCCCACTGCCCGGCTCAGGTCCTCAGTGCTTCCCCCAGACCACCATGAGAGCCTCTCACTGGTTCCTGTGCCTTTGGGCCCCTCACACTGCAGTCAGGGCAGCTTTACAAAATGCAGGTCATGTCCCTACTTAAAACCCTCCATGGACAAGTTGGACATCAAGATAAGTGATGATGGTAGGGGATTATAATCCATTGAGTCAAATAAGAATTCTTGAGCTCGTATTGATATAACGAGATTAATAAGTAAAAAAGGGGAAGGAGGGGAAAGCTCTTTTTAATCTTTTTATATATATATTTTTTTATCTGAGAGAGAGACACAGACAGAGCACAGGCAGGGGAGGAACAGAGACAGAGGGGGACACAGAATCTGAAGCAGGCTCCGGGCTCTGAGCTGTCAGCACAGAGCCCAACGCGGGGCTCGAACTCACGGGCAGCGAGATCGTGACCTGAGCCGAAGTCGGACACCCAACCGGCTGAGCCACCCAGGCGCCCTGGGAAGGCTCTTTTTTAGACTAGAATGGCAGCTAATAACCATAGAAGGAATGGGGTTAGGGAATCACCATTTGGCAAACACGACAGCAAACGCTGACTCAGGCAAGAATCATCAGTGAACGTCGTAAATGAAATCACCAATGAAAGACACCACCTCAATCAAGCGATCAAAGTTAGCATTGTCAATAAGGTAGGAACTGACATGTGTCTCCTGCTATGATGCACCAGTAAGGACATAATATTACTTCTTTGACACTTCCCCCCCAAACATACAATCTAACCCAATTGTGTTCAAATTGAGAGACATTCTACAAAATAGCCGGCCTGCAGTCTTCAAAACTGTCAAGGTCCTGAAAGACAAAGCTTGAGGAATTCTCCAGATTGACAGAGAATAAAGAAATGTGACCACTAACTACAGCTCGTGATCCTGGACTGGATCCTCGCCCAGGAAAGAAAACAGCTAAAAAAAGACATTTACGGGGACAAGTGAGAACATGTGAATACAGACAGTAAATTAAATAATAGTCTCGTATCAATGTTAAGTTTCTTGATTTTGATAATTCAAGTATAGTTATGTTAGGGAATGTCTGTTTTGAGGGAATACATACCAAAATCGTCAGTGTGAAAAACCTCCCGAGCGGAAACTATAAAACTCTTAGAAGAAAGCATAGGAGGAAAGTTTCATCAGGTTTGGCGATGATTTTTTTTGGATCTGACACTAAAAGCACAGGCAGTAACAGTAAAACAAGATATATCGGATCACATTAAAATTGAAAACTTTTGCGCATCAAAGGACACGATCCACAGAGTGAAAAGGCAACTTTCAGAAGAGGAGAAAATATTTGCGACTCGGAAACCTGATAAGGGGTTAATATCCAGTCTACATGAGGAACTCCTGCACATCAACGACAGAAAGCCAAACAACTGGATTAAAAATGAGCAAAGGACTTGGGGCAGATGCCTGGGTGGCTCAGTCAGTTAAACGTCTGACTTCGGCTCCGGTCACGATCTCATGGTGCATGGGTCTGAGCCCCGCGTCGGGCTCTGTGCCGACAGCTCAGAGCCTGGAGCCTGCTTGGGATTCTGTGTCTCCCTCTCTCTCTGCCCCTCCCTTGCTTTGTCTCTGTCTCTCTCTCTCAAAAAAATAAATAAACATTAAAAAAAATTTTTTTTTAAATGAGCAAAGGACTTGAATAGCTAGTCCTCCAAAGCAAAATCTTCAAATGGCAAGAAACACAAGATGCTCAGCATCACTAATCACTAGGGAAACGCGAGTCCGAACCACAATGAAATACCATCTCACAGCCATGAGAATGGCCGCCGTCAAAAACCAAACACCCGCTCCCCCCAAGAAAACGACAGCGTTGGCCAGGATGTGCGGAAGGTGAAGTCCTCCTGCACGGTTAGTGGGAATATAAAAGGGTGCAGCCGTGATGGAGAACGGCATGGCATTTGCTCAAAAAATAGAATTACCTCGTGACTTAGCAATCCCACTTCTGGGTACATACCCAGAAGAATTGGAAGTAGGGTCTCCAAAAGATATTTGCATGCCCGTGTTCAGAGTAGTATTATTCACCATAGCTAACAGGTGGAAGCAATCCAAGTGTCCCCTGACAGGTGAATGGGTAAGCAAAATGTGACCCATATGCATAATAAAATATTGACCTTAAAAAGGAAAGAGATTCTGACACATGTAACAACATGAATGAACCTTGAGGATAGTATGCAAAGTGAAATAAGCCAGTCACACACACACACACACACACACACACACACACACACACAAAAGCAGGTATCATGCTGTAGGATTCCATTTATATGATGTACCTGGAGTAGTCAACTTCCTAGGGACAGGAAGTAGAATGACAGTTGCCAAGGGCTGAGGGGAGTGGGGTGCATGGGGAATTGTTTACATGGGCACAGGGCAAGATGAAAAGAGGTTTGCACTTGGCTATACGACCATGTGAATATACTTACGGCGACACCTGTACAATTAAAAATGGCTAAGATGGTAAATTTTATGGTGTGTAAATTTGGCAACAATTAAAAGTAAATTGATCTTAAAAATTTCACTGGGGCCCTGTGGTTTTTAGGGTATAGGCCAAAACCTTCACTAAGGTTTTTAAGGTTCTGCCTTGCCCTGTACCCTCCCCACCTCTTCCAAACCTCTGCTCGCACCAAACTGCCCCGGAATGCCGGTCCCATCACTGTTCCTTGGCTCACACCTTCGATGACTTTCCATCACTCTTGATAAAAGCCCACAAGGCCTTACATGACCTGGCTGCCTGGACACTTCAGTGGCTTCACCTACTCCCCCGCACCCCAGCTCACTCCACTCCAGCCACACCGGCCTCCTTGTGGATCCTGACTGCTTCAACACAAAGGCCTCAGGGCCTTTGCACTTACTGATCTCTCTGCCTCAAATGTCCCCAGATGGGGCTCCACGTCCCCAGATATGGACTACTTCCTCACTTTGTTCTCAGTGAGGCTTTCCCAAGGCATCCTAACAATACAGCCCTGTACATATTCCTATATCCCTTTCCTGTTTCATTCTTCCCCCTTAACATTTATCTAATATATATTTTATAAATAATACTATATTATGTTATAATAATATAGGACTTAATATTAATTAGTATAAGTCCGACTTAATTTAATATAATATTAATATAATACAATATTATATAATATTATATTAATATTATAATAAATAATATATATTTATCTTGCTTGTCCTCTCTTTCCCTCACTAGAATATAAGTGATATAAAGGGCAGAGATTTTAGTCTGGTATTCGTTGCCATGTAAGACAGTCTGGCATGCAGTAGGTATGTAATAAAATCCGATAGTGAATGAATGGACGATGAGCTCTTTTTCCTCAGCTGTTAAGATTCAGCTCAAAAGTGACGCCCTTCCTTATGGAGCTCTGCCCACCCTCACTTCCCTCCTTGTCCCCTGCACCGGCTTCCGGCCTGGTCCCCAGGGCATTCTACACCCCCTACCTGTTCATAAGTCAGCCTACCCCAGTCGTAGACCCATTCCCCCATTGCCAAGCACAGAGCTGGGTGATTTGCATGAATGTGGGAAGGAAGGAAGGAAGGAAGGAAGGGTTGAATGCATTTATGGACCTGAGCTGGGCTAAGGTGGGCAGCTGTATGTGCTGACTCCCTAGAGGATGGGTGGGGACCCTGTACCTTCTCTCCAATCTCCGTCTGGTCCCCGGCAGGCAGCATCTCCAGGTCAGCTAGCAAGGCACAGGCTTCCAGAGCCTGTTGGTACCGCTTGGGGTCCAGGGCTCGGCCAAACAGTATGTTTTCCTGAAGAGTGCAATTCTGGATCCATGCCTGCTGGGGCACGTAGGCCACAGAGCCCTGGCCGGAGGAGAAGCTACCTCAGGGTGTACCCCGGGCCTGGCCAAGCGGCCCTTCCCGGGAGTTGTACCCTCTCTCACCTTCACACACACCGGGCCTTCCAGTTTCTCCATCTCTCCCAGCAGGACAGACACCAGGGAGGACTTCCCACAGCCCACAGGCCCCACCACAGCCGCCAGTGCCCCTTTCGGCCCCTGGATGTCTAGACTGAGGGCAAGGAGTCCAGGAACCCAGGCAGAGGTAGGGATTGGGATTTCCTTCCCCAACCTCTCACCTAGAGACTCAAGCCCTCCTCCCTTTCAGACACCACCTTGACAAGTTGAGGCTCTTTCTGGTTTCCAGGCCAAAGATGGGAATGGAAGGAGTTGGGGGTGGGGGGGGGAGGGGAGGGAGAGGTGACGGGAGCCCTGGGGGGAGGGGCCAATGTGAGAAGGCAGGGAAGCTTGGGCGGGGAGGGGCAGGGAGGCCTAAGAAAGGAAAAAAAAGTGGGGGAGGCCCAGGGAGGGACTGCACAAAGGGAGAGAGAAGGCGGGGCCGGTGGGAAGACAGGAAGAAGAAACGGATAAGTTAAAAGCTTGGAACAGAAGATTTTCTGGAGCAGGGTCTGGGGCAAGGGCAGCCCAGGTAGAGGGTGTCTGGACCTGGGGTGATGGTCTTTCTTTCCACACAGTGGGGGTCAAGTTCATCTTGGCTCAGGAAATGCTGGATCCGTTTCAGAGACAAACTGATCTGCCGGAGAGTGAGTCAGCCCAGGAAGCTCTCCCTTCCCCCACCCGCTCCCACACTTGCCTGGCCCGGACTTCCTGGGAGAGGCAGGGCCCCCTAAAGACCCAGACGGGGTGCTGGACACCCCCCACCCTACGACTGAGTCTTCTCTGGCACCCACTGCCAAGAATAGGGTCTAGGTTGGTATGAGGAGGTTGTCTTCAGAATCCATGTTTCCAGGGACCTTTCCTCTCTTCCTCTGTCTCCAAATGACCCCTGGTTCTAATGACCTCATGCCAACTGCCCGCCCCCTCCATTCCAATAATTCTCCTGGATTGTCCCCTGACCCTAACAGCCTGCCCTACCTCCCGCAGAACCCCCAGCCCTACCCGGGGTTACCTGGACCAGGCCGCTGATTATCTGGGGCAGCAGGTTCCGGGGAGTCTTTAAAATATTGAACAGGGACACAGACACAAAGGCCTTCTCGGCATCAGGCACGTTGTTCTGGTCCACGGACACATAGACCCCAAGGGTAATCAGGGTCACCGGGGCAGGGGTGGAGGGCGAGTGTCAGAATGGAATCTGTTGAGTCCGGAGGCCTGGGCCGGCCAGGTGGGAGGTGGGGGGCCAGCCCCGGTCGGGGGGGAGCCTCACCAGGAAGGGGGTGCAGACCCAGGTGAACGTGGATATGGCTTGGAGGTAGGCAGACTGGCGTAGCATCCGGAGCTCGTCCTCCCGGAGGCCCTCCACCTTCCCCAAGAAAACGGGTTCCCAGGCATACAGCTTCAGCACCTTGAAGCCACCCGGGATCTCACTCATCAGCTTGGTGCACTTGAATTTCATTTGCTCCACCCGTGGGAAGAGTGGCAGTGACACGCCCTGCTCTCCTCCCCAGACCTCCCCCCACTGGGGCTCCTACCTTCCGTGCCCTGGCACGCACCGCAGCCATTCAGACGGCTCCCATTCCCCCCGCCTCGTCCTCCCGCATGGCCCGTGCTGCCCCTCAGCCCAGCTGCGCCCTCTCCTCCGCCCACAGAGTCCAACTCCAACCTCAGTGCTCCCATCACTGACCCTCCCAGGCAGCATCCTCTGCCCCCAGGGGTTTCTAAGCCACGTTGTTCTTCTCTTTTGTTCCCGTGGAAATCCCCGCGCGCGCAGGACTCCACAGTCAGACTGGGGGCCTCCTGAGGGTGCAGACCGCTTAACTTTCTCTCTGTTTCCCCAGGCCCTAACCCAGGGCACGGCAGCCCGACTTGATTCATCCACTCAGCCCTATTCGTTGCATGCCTACTCTGTGCCAGGCCACGTGTTAGACATGCGGCACATAATGATGAACAGCTCAACCGAGGCCCCGGCCATCATGAAGCTGACAGTCTGATGGGGGAGGCAAACAGGAAGCAAACATTAACTAAGTAAATGCTTAGTAAATCAGTACGTGGGACTCTGTGGGAGAGTAATGGGGTGGGGACTGGGAACTCAGAGTTTATGCTGGGGAGCAACGGGGAGGAGTGAGCAAGCAAGGAAGGGATGAGACGCCTGGCAGGGAACAGTGGGTGGGGGGGCCCAGAGGTACGCGTAGCTTGGTGCTTTGGAGAAAAGAAAGAAGGCCAGAGTGGCTGCCACTTGGCCGTGCCCTGGGGGGTGAGGACTTGCAGGTGGGCAGGGGCCTGGTGGGTGGTCATGGGGAGTTTGTCATTTATTCTACGCACAGTGGGAGGCTACTGAAGACTTCAATAAACATTTGAAAATGAAGGCTTGGACGACTGGCTATTTACACTGAGCACAGTGTGGTGGGAGAAGGCTCTCATTAGACCGGAAGACGCAGGGGCGCCTGGGTGGCTCAGTCGGTTAAGCGTCCGACTTCGGCTCAGGTCGTGATCTCACAGTTTGTGAGTTCAAGCCCCGCGTCGGGCTCTGTGCTGACAGCTCAGAGCCTGGAGCCTGCTTCTGATTCTGTGTCTCCCTCTCTCTCTGACCCTCCCCCCGTTCATGCTCTGTCTCTCTCTGTCTCAAAAATAAACATTAAAGGGGCGCCTGGGTGGCGCAGTCGGTTAAGCGTCCGACTTCAGCCAGGTCACGATCTCGCGGTCCGTGAGTTCGAGCCCCACGTCAGGCTCTGGGCTGATGGCTCGGAGCCTGGAGCCTGTTTCCGATTCTGTGTCTCCCTCTCTCTCTGCCCCTCCCCCGTTCATGCTCTGTCTCTCTCTGTCCCAAAAATAAATAAACGTTGAAAAAAACATTTAAAAAAAAAATAAAATAAATAAACATTAAAAAAAAATTTTTTTAAAAAGACCGGAAGACACAGGTTTGAGGCCCGGCTCGCCCTGATTCTGGACTGCCCTTGTCTCTCTGGGCTTTGATTTCTCAGCTGCTACACGACAATGTGGCTAGAGCCCTCTCAGGGCTGTCATGAGGTTGGAGTGAGCTAAGGTTTGTGGAAGCGGCTTATAGCCATCCTTCCTCAGTAAGCAAGGCAACTGAGGGGCCCCAGGTTAGGGAAGGCCCTCCCCCAGGCACCTTGGCCGGGTGCTCCAGGCAGGAGCAGCAGACCCGTGATAGCGCCTACCTGTAAGGCACGCATCTTCAAGGCCACAGCTCCGTTGAGTGGGACCAGCAAGACGATTAAAGCCACCCCAGCCAAGATGGAAGGACCCAGGTTCTGAGGAGGCATGGGTGGATCGATAAGACAAATACCTAAAGAATGTGCACAGACCCCCACAGACGGACAGAGGCCTGTGGATCAGAAACGTGGAGCTGGGCAGGAAGCAAGAAGCGGTAGTCAGCCAAACAGATAGAAACAAACATACGGAAAAAGGCCAAATACGAAAACAGGTGCAGAAGCCCCCGGCCATCAGACGATGTCAAAAGCTAGGAACAAAGAGGCAAACAGAGGAAGGAGTCCAGACACACAGGAAGGCGACTACAGCCGGCCAGCCAAGGAGAGTCAGACTCACACCCAGGCCCCGCGGCACCCTGTTCCAGCGGACCTTCCTATAGATGACACCTGTGATCGCCGAACGAAGCCTCAACACCATCACATAGATACAGTGGAGATACTGTTGTGAGAGCAGAGTCACAGAGCATGCAAACATCAGCCCGGCCACCGGGAAACCCCACCAGGTGGAGGCCACGGGGTTTGAAATAAACCTGATCAGGATGCTGCAAGGAGAGGAGAGAGGCATGAGAGCGGGGAGGGGTCCCCCAGGCCACTCCTTCTACTGCCGCCCTCCCCTCCCACCCTTAGCCTCCACTCTCCCAGGCAGGGGCTGCTGGCCCTCCACACCCCCACCCAGACCACCCCCACACCCCGGCTCAGCCCTATGCCACCTTAAGACCATGCCCCCCCCCCCCACCATCTTCCGGCCCTTCTGCCCTCACCTCTCTTCCCACCTGCCACGGCCCTGCGGCCCACTGCTTCTATCACTCTCTCCCTGCGAGCCTGCCTGCCGGCCTTTCTTGCCTCTTGAACCACGTGGCAGGAAGAGATGCCACAGGTCCATAGCTAAGACTTTCCTGCACCTTCTCCTGGGCTGCTGAAGGCTCTAGAACCTACCACACGACCCCACAGACGCTCCCCCTCAAATCCAGCCTTTCCAACATCAGTGGCCCCCGGTGCTGCTGGTGACCTTCTCCAGGGCGCTAATCTACCTCTTGTCCCCTAGGCCTTCTGCACCTCTTGTCTCTAACCTTCTCACTGCCCCCACTCCCCACCCCACCCCACCCAGTAGCCGCCCCGCTCGTGTCTTACCACTTACCCACCCATTGAGAACTCCCTGACAACCACGGACTTCCCTCCAAACACTTGCTGTCTTCTTTTTCTTCTGGCTTTCCGAGCCTGATCCTGCCCCGCTGAGCCCTGACTCCCATCCACCTGCTCAGCAATACGCTCCCTCATTGCCACCCTTTCTGGACCATCAACATCTTCATCCCTGCTGGTGGCTCTGTACCTTCACCCACCGGCATGACCAAGTCTCTTCCATGTTGGGACAAACCTCCCCTCGACCTCATGGAGCTACCTCCCGAGGTGTAGACAGGCCTCTCCTTTTGCTGCGTGTTGACTGTGTCTCCCCCCCCCCCCAAAAAGACGTTCCAGTCCTAACCTCCAGTACCTGCGAATTTGATCTTATTCAAAAACAGGGTCTCTACGGATGTAATCAAGTTAGAATGAGGTCCCACTGGAGTCGGGTGGGCTCTAATCCGGGGACCGGTGTCCTTATAAGAGAAGGAGAAGGGGATTTGCACACAGAGACCCACGGATGTGAGTGCGCACACAGATATGTGCACATGGACGTGGACACACACACACACACACACACACACACTGGGGAGGATGCTGGAGGCCGACGTGGGGGTGATGTGTCTACAAGCGGAGGCCAAGGATTGCCAGCAACCACAAGAAGCTAGGAGGCACAGTACAGATTCTCATTCAGAACCTCTAGAAGGGGCCAACCCCGCCAACATCTTGATTTCAGACTTCTGGCCTCCAGAACTGTGAGACGGTAAGTTCCTGTCGTTTTAAGGCCCCTCCCCACCTAGTTTGTGGCAATTTGTCCCAGCAGCCATAGGAAATGAACGCGTTTTCCTTATGGGAACTTTCTAGACCTCCCTGGCCCCTGCTCTCCGAGGCAGACCCACTGCTCTAGGTCCTTCCCCTCCGTCTCAGCCTCTATTCTCGGCACTAACAAACCCCACGTTGTCCCCCTCAGGCTCTATCTCACCGGCCAACCTGCTGCACTGGAGGCCATGCTTTAGGCCAGAAGCATTCTCCGTGCTCTGCTCCACGGCTGGCTCTTTCCCCAGCTTTCGCCCTTCCAAGCCAGCCTTCTGCTCACCCCTTACCTGTCACAGTTCCCTAGGGCTCTGTCTGGGGCCACCGACATGAGTTCTCTGGGAGAGCCCAGCCACAGATACCGGACCCTGGGCCTCTACCTCATGGCTCTGAAACTGTGGTCTCCAGCTAGCTGGGAATGTCCCCCTGGGACAATGTCCCCCAGCACCTTGACCCCAACGTAGCCAAGACTCAACTCACCACCTTGCCTGGTGCCCAGCCCCCTCCTCCTGCTGCATTCATCATCTCAGAGAAAGATCCGACAGCCGGGTGGCCCACGACCCCTCCCTCTCCCTGGCAATTCCCCAGCAGCTCCTGAATCGTATCTCATTCCTGGCCTGGACTCTCCTCTGACCTCGTTGGCCCACCTCCATCCCTCCACCCGGCCCTACATCCCCTGACAGAGGGGTCCTTCTGAAATGCAAACCAGATGCCCCTCCCCTGGCTTCAAATCTTCCAAGGATTTCCTTAGCTCTCCCTCTCTCTCCCTCCCTCGGGTCACCCTTTCCTCCGGAAATACCCGGAGTTCCTGAGTCATGTCGGCTGAGGCCTTTGTGACTCTGCGTGCGCTGAACTTTCTCCTCCTTCCTCACCTAGTCGACCAACACCTGACTGTCCTTCCCACCTTGCTGACCCCTCCCGGAAGCAAGCGCACCTGCTGTTGCTCCTTCCCAGCCTGGCCTCCTTGTCCCTCCTAGGGATTTCCAGACACCCGAGTCTACCTCTGTCTGCACGGTGCTCTAATGGATTCCCACACTGGTCTTCCACCGTGTCTTCTAGATCCCTGCATGCCTAGTATCTAGCGTCATTCTGGTACACTGGGGGCTCAACAGCTGTTTTTTGAATGAGAATACGCAGATGCACACGTGGAGGGACAAGGTGTTGGGGGGCTCAGCGGCGAGGTAGCCCTCTTTCTTACCCCCCGATTTGAGAGCTTTCCCTGGTCCAGGCCACTCACGGGACAGACGACAGAGCCTATCAACTGGCAAGGACCCCCTGGCTGGAGTTCAGAGCCCTGGACTCCAGTCCATCTTTACCAGCTGTGTGTGCCCTCGGGCAATTTCACCTCTCTGAGTTCCTGCTTCCTCGTTCGTTTTGCGTTTAGTTTTTCCACTTCCTCTCTCTCGTAAGATGGGATTAGGGGCACCTCTCTGTAGGATTGTTGGAGGTGGGGGTGGGATTTGAAGAGAGGATGTTTGTTCATCCGCCCGCCAGGGTGCCTGGCATACAGCACGTACGCGATGAAGATGAGCTGGATGTGAATTGGGGAAACTCTGGCACAGGGGTATTGTCACTTGCCAAAAGGCCACACAGCAAGTGGGGAGAGCCCCTTCGGTCCCGGTCTGGGATCTTTCCCATGGTGTCCCTCTGCACTCAGACCTCAGGGACGCCAGCCGGCGCCCCTTACCCAGGAGGGTAGCAGCAAGAGTGAGTGTGGTCAGACCTGAGCGGCTGCGGATTGACGAAGGAGAGCAGGTCCTGGGTCGACCTGAAGCAGATGCTCTTGAAGATGCCGGAACCACAGGTGGCCAGCACGGCCCGCGGGAAGGATGGCTCCCGGGGCCTGGGCCGGCCCCCGAGCAGCACCACATCCTCACCGGACACACTCTTCCCAGATGCCACCGCGGCCCTGTGTCTGGTCCAGGGAGGAAGGAGTAGTGGGTAGGAAGGGTCACATGCGCCCCACGAGACAAGCGCCAGTGGGGCCTGACGAGGAGCCGGGGGGGGCGGGGACCTGCTTTCTCGGCTCTTAGGACCGCTTTCTAGGCTCTATCCCTCGGCAGAGGGATAGACAACATGACCTTCCGGGTGAGAACTCCCCAAGTGACTCTGTCTGCAGGCGTATGAGGCTATCTCACGGGCCTTAACCACTACCCCCAAGAACTACAACTCAAGCAACTTCCAGCCCTCTCCCTGCCTCCACAGCATGGCTCCGGGGAGGATGCCGACAGGAAAAGGAGACAAGGGCAGAGATGGCGAGTGACCTGGTCACTGAAGAGCCGGGAGAGGGTAAAGGTGGCACGGAAGGGAAGAGGGGGGTGCCGCATGCAGACTGGGGGGCCCGTATGTCTTCTCCGAGGCCCCAAACCAAGGAAGCCGAGACACCACAGACTAAGTCCAAGTCCCTGGCTCCTCCACCAGCCAGCTGCCAATCAGGGGCTCTGGGTTGAAAAAGCACGGAGGTCCTGGGTCCCCGATTATGGGTGGGAGGGAAGGGGGTTCAGTCCTGGGGTCAGAAATGGGTAGGGAAGGAGGACTCGGAGCTCTAGCTCTCTTGGTTGGGCAGTTGGCCAGACAGGTCCCTGGGTCTTTGATGGGAAACTGCCCGTGGGAAGGCCCTTCAGTCCAAGGATCATCTTCTTTGGTCCCTTCCTCCAGACAGGAGGAGGCGGGATTGAGAAGAGGGGCCGGCCTCAACCTTCTTCCCCTGACCCTTCCCCTTCTGAGGGAAGTCCCTGGAAAACACCTCTCAGGATGGGCACGATAGCACAGTGGTGAGAGCAGTGGGTCCGGACACCGGTGGGTTCCAGCCCCGCCACCACCAACTCAGGGACCTTGCGTGCCCTGTTAAGCCCTCGCTCCTCAGCGTCCACTTGTAACACCAGAAACAATAGAACCCACACGGCAGGGCTGTTAGAGATTGAGTGAATCTACGTGTTTAGGGCCACGTAGCGACAGGCTAAGTGCTACACAAGTGTCAGCTATTCCCTGGAATTAGAAGAGCTGGGGAGAGCTGGCCCCACTCAGGCCCAGGCGTCCCCCCTCAGGACCGCCCGCACCTGCCTTTCTCCCCACCCCCACCCCTGCGATCGGCCTCAGGGCTACTCGCCTCCCCCGCAGGAGACTTGGGACGTGGGAACCCAGGGAGGGCCTCACCGCGCTGCCTGCTTCTGCTGCTTCTTCCATGCCTCCATCAGCCTGTCCACCACCACCTGCGAGCGGTCCTCCTCGGTCAGGGACCAGAGGTCCTGCTCCTCCAGGGGGCGCCGGTAGCCAAGGATGGCCATCCTGGGGCGGGCAGCAAGCCCACGCAGGGTCAGAGCTCAGCAGCCTAGAGCTAGAGTCTCCAGAGCCCCCAGTCTCCCTGAAGGGCTGTGGCCACGGGCAGGGTCTCCTTTATTGCCCCAGTGAACAGCCTGGAGGTCACTGCCTCCCATCCCAAGTTCCTATCCCTACTCACCCCGTCTCCACCTCTTCCCCAGATGCCATGTTGACCCTCGCGCCTTGGTGATGAAATTCACACCGACTGTGGCCCCGGGGAGAGGACGAGTGCGAGTACGGGTGGATGGAGTCCCAGACCCAGGTGCCTCCTCAGTGTGGTGTGGTTGATGAGCTGTCACCCAGGCCACAGACACAATTACCCTGCTCAAGCCACACTGAGGGGCCGCCAAGGAAATGACAAGCTGTAAGCTTATCCCAGATGGAAGCGCTCGGAAGTAATTACAGTTTCCCTCTAGCTCCCGGGGCCTGTTCCTGTGAACAGGCCCAGATGCAGGGCTGGGATGGGAGCTGGGCCAGCCGGGCCTCTACACTCAGCCCCCAGTCCAAATGGTCCAAATGGACAGGTTTCCTCACCCTCGCCTGCCCCGAATGCCCTCTGGGGTCAGGGTTTGGGGCAGGGAAACATGCCGGCTCAACTTGCGGCCCGCTCCCCTTCCTCCCCACCTCCCCTCTCCTCCTCCCTCTGGCCCAGCACGGAGGGAGAGCTGACTCACTTTGTGAACCACCAGAAAGACCGGCGGGAGAAGAAGCCAGCGCTGACCTCTGGGGAGGGGTTCTAGAAGATGAGAGGGTGGGAGGGGAAGACTCTGGCGTGCCCACCACCCTCCCGAAGCGGAGCAGAGGGAGCAGGGGCCCTGGTTTCTTCCTGGAGGGAAGGACGACTTGGGGATGAAAGGAACTGGAAGGGACGGGAGCTGCTGGTAAGGGCTGGGCTGAGGAGTGGGCTGTGGAAACCCCACGGCCACCCAGCCTCCATAGCAGACTCACAGGGTCGGCATTCTTTGGGGAGAAGAATGGCGGCTGCTCCCTGAAGCGGGACAGGATGAGAGCGAAGAGCACCAGGGCGAAGTAGATGTAGAAGGTGGCGAAGCGGAAGGGGTCTGAGGTCTTGCCCCGCAGGGGAGAGTGGGGAGGGACGTCAGACACAGGCAACCCTGGACCTGCAGTCCTGCCCCCCACGGGGTCCTTTGGGGTGCCAGGCTCCCTCGGGGTGGGATGCACGACCCAGAAGGTTCCGAGAGATGGGGCGAGGTCACGAGGGGGCCGCTGTTCGGTGAGGGCTCGCCAAGCACCCCACCGAAGTCACCTTGTGTGACCCTCCCCACAGGGTAGGAAATCTCGGGATATCCAGTTTGCAATGGAGGAAATGATCGCGAAGCAACTGGCCCAGGATCACAGAGAGGGCGACTAGAATGTTCTGAACCTGCACTTTTACCACCACGTTCAACTGCCCCCCACCCTGGAAACGGAGGAATCTTGCACCCCACCACCGCAGGAAAGGTCAAGACGAAGACCAGAGAAGTGAGGGGGATGGGAAGAAAAGGGGAGAGCAGGACAACAGGACTTCCTGGTAGGACAGACTACTCGTGCGCGTCCGCACACACGTGTCCAATACGCAGACGCTGGCAGACCCCTGGCAGACCCTGCACGTGGCGGTGCCCGTGGTGGCGGCAGAACGGCCCCTTGTATCCGGTGAACGCCCCACAATGGCCGTGTCCCGCCTCATTCCCTCGTGTGACACCAGCCCTCACCCCCGGCTCCCCGGTCTGCCTCCCAGCACAGATACAGCAAGTAGGGGACGGCGTAGAAAGGCCTGAACAGCAGGGGAGGTCCTGGGAGCAGGGGAGGGGCAGCTTGGGACCCAGCGGTGACCTTGAGCCCCGAGGCCATCCCCTAGATGGGGCTGCACCTGGCAGGTTCCCCTTTTGCCCCTTACCTTTGCCACGGCTGACAGGATCTTGGAGCGGAAGGGGACAACGGCACAGACCACGCACGGGAACCAGAAGATGATGAGGACTCCCGGGGACTGTACCCCCTGCAGCCACTCATGCCGGATTAGCAGAGTGGCCAGCCGCTGTGCCGAGAGGGCAAGGAAGGCTGGGCCGGAGTACAGAGATATCTGGACCTTCTCTGTCCTCCCCACCCCACATGGCCAGATGTTTTGGGGGTCACTCCTTCCTCTTCCCACTGCTAAGGTGTCCGGCCCTCTCCAAGGAGCCCATGGCTCCCCTATCACGGTCCCACAACTCACTGGAGACCCTCCCCCATCAACTCCCAGGGCCCCACACTGACCACGGTGACCCCCACCAGCAACGGGGTGATAAAGAAGATGGGGGCGGGGGCCCAGCCGTGGACCAGGTCATGGAAGGCGTAGAAGAGGTCAGCCCAGGAGATGCACCACAGCAGGACGCCCAAGGCCTACAAACAGGGCACAGGGTGGAAACCCCACCTTCAAAAGTAGGGGCGGTTCCCACCGGAGGATGTCCTTTTTTTTAATCTTTTTTTTTAATGTTTATTTTTTATTTTTGAGAGGGAGACAGAGACAGAGGCAGAGAGCACACACAAGCAGGGGAGGGGCAGAGAGTGAGAAAGGGAGACACGGAACCTGAAGCAGGCTCCAGGCTCTGAGCTGTCAGCATAGAGCCCGATGCGGGGCTCGAACCCACGGACTATGAGTTCATGACCTGAGCCAAAGTCTGGCGCTTAACCGGCTAAGCCACCCAGGCGCCCCTGGAGGATGTCCTTTTATCCTACCCAGGGTCTGGCCCCGGAGGCTAGGTGGTGCACTGGCCAGAAGTGCCCCAGGGGCGGGGAGAGTGTTGCCAGAGAACTTTCTTGAACTTTCGCAAGCAGGGACTATCTCGTTTGACCGCAGACTCAGCTGGCAGGCTGTCGCGGCCTGAGCTGCGGGGCAGGTGTAGCTGGGAAAGCGTTCAGCCACCGACGGTGGGGGATGGGAGGGGGGAGAATAGTGATGAGCAGAACCTTCCGGGTCCCAGCCCCACCCGCGAGAGATCCCTGACCCCCTGACCGTCTTGAGCCTGGAGAGGGGGGAGAGGATGACGTAGCCTCGGTGATGGTGCCGCAGATGGAAGAGGTAGCAGGGCAGGGCGGCCCCCAGGTAGATGCAGGGGACCCAGGCCAGCAGGGAGTTCTGGAAACAGGGAGTGAGGTCCGGGTCGTCGGTGTGCACGGACCGATTGGCGTCCCGGGGGCAGAGGGAACAATTCGGTGCTGTGGCAGCCTGCCGCAGAACGGGACCCCCCCTCGAGGAAGGTGGCTGGGCCAGAGAGGCACTCCACCTGCTCCGGGCGTCAGAAGGCACGTGGAGACCACACGAGGTGGGCGTGCAAGCAAGCAAGCCCCGGGAGGAGGGTGTGCTCTCCCAGGAGGCCATGGTCGCCCTCTCTTTCCTCATCTCCCTCTGTCTCGAATTGAGGTATCGTTAAAGCACGGTAAAGTGTGCCCGTGTAAAGTGCACAACCCAGTGGGCTTGGAAGTCATACACGCCAGCCAAACCACTGCCACGGGAAAGATACAGGGTATTTCCATCGTTCCACAACCTCCCTTGGGCCCCTCTGCAGCCCATCCCTCGCAGGCAACCACTGCCCTGCTTTCCACCATTCTAGATTTCCACTCTTTAAAAAAAAAAAAAAAATCAGTGTTTTATTTTTTATTCATTTTTGAGAGACAGAGCGTGAGCGGGGGAGGGGCAGAGAGCGAGGGAGACACAGAATCCGAAGCAGGCTCCAGGCTCCGAGCTGTCAGCACAGAGCCCGATGCGGGGCTCGAACTCACGGACCGCGAGATCGTGACCTGAGCCACTGAGTCACCCCAGGCGTTCCATGTGTTTTATTTTATCAACGCGATATATGCGCATGGTTGAAGGGCCCACTTCCTCTCCATGCCTCTCCCAGGGAAGGGACTGGGAGCTTCTCTGAGATTAATTTGCTTCTCCTTTGCATTCAGGAAAGTGATCCATCACCCCACCTACCTCACTGACTGGGTAGGCTCAAAGGAGCAAGGGAATGAAGAGAGAGCTTTGCACGGTACAAAGCCTGGGTGACCAACCATCCCCATTTGGGACTGCCCCGGTCCTAGCACTAGAAGTCTGGTATTGGTGGGGAGCCACTGAGTCACGACAAGACCGGGTCCAGTCTTTGAATACAACTCCACCCACCAAGCTTTTTGGAAAGAGGTGGGGGAATACATTCAAACACGTATTTTAGTGAGGTTGTTTCTTCCAAGGTCACAAATGAACTGATCTTCCAACCTCCACAAAGCATTGGATGTTCTTTCCAGAAAGCTCAGAAAATACAAGCAGGTAACAAAAAAACCAAAAAACCCAAAACCAAAAAACCCATCCACAATCTCATCCATCTAGAGACAACGGCTAACACCAGAGGATATAAAACTCCTTACTTCCCAACTGCCCATTTAAATAATGATCATTTTTATTTTTGTCCAAGTTATACTTTCACATAACTTTTTTTTTAAAGAGCTGTCAACACAGAGCCCAACGGCGGGGCTTGAACTCATGAACTTCGAGATCATGACCTGAGCGCAAGTTGGATGCTTAATGGACTGAGCCACACAAGTGCCTCCCTAGTTCCATTTTCTAGGGGCAAATACGTTCAAATATGCTAACTTCTATCTACTTCTACCTGTTAAAGCAATTTGTTCTTACCTTTGTTCGATTTATTATTATTTGATAATGAGGTTGCACCTGTCTTGTCCTTCCCATTTGAGTGTCCTCACCCTTCCAGTATAGAATGGCTTTTGTCCTATAAATATTCAGAGTTTACACTTACTTGACTCTGTCAAGGTCCACTACAGTGGGCTCTATGTTTTTCAAGCTGTGTGATGTTGAGCAACATGCTTAACCTTTGCCTCTCTGGGCCTTGGTTTCTTTGAAGGTAATGTTGGGGATAACATCTCCCCAACCCCCTCCCCTCTGGCTCCTCAGCTGTCGTACTAGTCCAGGCCCTCACTTCCCCCCTGAGTAATTTCCATAAGGTTCTGATCTTTTCCCTTCCATCCCTTAGGTGCCCAGATCCCTGCCCAGACAGACCTCTCCCTTCCTCCCTGGTCTTTCCTTCTAAGTCTCCTGGCCGGTTCCCTCTCTTGGCATGGCAGTGTCCCGGGGGCCCATCCAGCTCCTTCTACACACCAGTGACTCTCCTTACCTTCTCCTTGCCTTCTCTGCTCTTTTTTTTTTTTTTAATGTTTATTTTTGAGCGCAAGCGGGGAAGGGGCAGAGAGAGAGAGGAAGACACAGAATCCAAAGCAGGATCCTCACTCTGAGCTGTCAGCACAGAGCCCAATGCGGGGTTCGAACCCATGAACTGCGAGATCATGACCTGAGCCAAAGTCAGTCGCTTAACCGCCTGAGCCACCCAGGCGCCCCATCTTCCTTTTCTTTATAGCACCCGTCACCTTCTAACATGCTATATAAGTCACTGGCTTATTGTGTTTTCTCTCATCTTTTCCTGCTGGGGTGCCATTTTTATTTCATTTATTGATGTGTTTTAAGTACTTAGAACAATGCCAAGCACATAGCGGGGGTGGCGGGGAATGTGGTTACATAACTGAAATGAAATGTTTGCTGAATAAATGAATGAATAAAATAATAATTTTATACTTTCCCCTTAAACCTTCAGCGGTGCCCTAAAGCCTAGAAGACAAAGTCCAAGCATATTACTACGGCATTCGAAATTTCCAGTTGGTCCTGAATCATCTGATCCTGGGAACTACTGAACTATCCACATGCTTGAGTTCTCCCATCTTTTTAAAAAAATGTTTTTAAATGTTTATTTTTAAGAAAGAGAGAGAGAGAGAGAGACAGTGCGAGCGGGGGGAGGGGCAGAGAGCGAGGGAGACCCAGAATCCAAAGCAGGCTCCAGGCTCCAAGCTGTCAACCCACAGCCCGACGCGGGGCTCGAACTCACGAACCGTGAGATCATGACGCTTAACCAGTGGAGCCACCCAGGCGCCCCAGTTGCGTTCTCCCATCTTAAAATACTCACGGAGTGGTCTGCACACCCTGCCTCCCTTTCCTCAGCTTCTACTCTTTACTTCCATCTGGGTCAGCCCTCTGCCCTCTGATGCCCCTGCCCCAGAGCTCTTCCTGAAATGCAGCTTTGTGCCCCCTTGCTTCAGGGCCATGAACCTACATCGCCTCCTGCTGCTCATGGGGCGCCCACGCACCCTGCAGCCCTCTCTTCCCCGCTGCCCCTTTCCCCTGCTGCCAGCTCACTTCGTTCTAAATGTGCTCTGAGGGTCCCACCGCTACGCTTTTGCTCAACCTGCTTTCTGTCTCTTCCACCCTCTACCTGGTGGGCCTGGCTTGGGAGCCACGTCTCCCACCGTGAATACCGGCCCCCCCCCCCCCCGCCTCTGAAGTCAGCACCTCATGAGGGATCCGCCTTTCTAGAGCATCCGTTTTCTCGCTTGATGATGCTGTGTTGAGGGTATGCTCTGAGTCGCGCCCTGGGCTGGGTGCACCCGTGGCAGACGTGTCCCTGCCTTTGGGGAGCATGAGGTCCAGGGGCATGCTGCTTTGGGATATTAGATTCACGCCCCGGTGGGAAAAGTGTATACCACGTACAGCTTGTAGTCTAGGGCCCTGCATTCAGTGAGCTCAGGACCCACAAGGACTAAGGACTCCTGCTGAGCACCTGGCAAGCTGGCCCAGGGCTCGGTGCCGCGTCAGAGCTGGGTACACCCCTAGGCCTAGTCAAGGCACCCCAGGGGGAGGGCAAGCAGACACAATGAATCCAGCCCTTTGCCCTTTTTAAAACACTTCTTATGGGGCGCCTGGGTGGCTCGGTCAGCTAAGTGTCCGACTTCGGCTCAGGTCATGATCTCACGGCTCGTGGGTTTGAGCCCCGCGTCGGGCTCTGTGCTGGCAGCTCGGAGCCTGCTTCGGACTCTGGGTCTCCCTCTGTCTCTGCCCCTTTCCCGCTCGTTCTCTCTCTCCCCCTCTCTCAAAAATAAATACATATAAAAATAAATAAACAAACAAAACGCTTCCTGTTCAACTTCCAGAACGCTGGCTATTATAAACTTACAGAAAAGCGCACACGTTTTAGGCGTACCCTTCAGTGAATTCTCACACACTGAACATACTTGTGTAACCAGCACCCGAATCGTTGCTGGGAGCAACGAGACATTGCTGGGACCTAGACACCCCCTCCTCGTGCCCCCTCCCAGCCACTACTCACCGCACAGGAACGCCATCCTGACTTCTAACCATGTGGATTACCTTTCTGCCCATCTAGCGTCTTCCCCTAAAGGAAATTACACAAGTATGTGCCTTTCACGTCTGGCTTCTTTCACACAACTCTGTGTTTGTGGGGGTCATCCTCGGGGTTGAGTGTGAGTAGGGATTCTCCCTCCTCATTTCTAAGTGGTGGCCCTTATACGAAGGGACCTTCTGGGTGGTGGCGCCTCGCATGAGCGGACCCATGTATGTATCCATCCTATTGTCAGTGGCAGCCCCACCCTATTTTAAATTTAGCAAGCCCATTAAACCCACCCACTTCCTCATGATCCGGCTGGCCTGCCCAAGGCCATCCAGAACTCAGACCTTCAGGTCTCCAGACCTCACTGGGCCCAGCCTGAGCCTCACCTCCTGCAGGAAGCCTTCCTGGGACACCCCAGCCTCTGCCAGGGCTTTCTTTTGCTTTATCCTGGGTGGTTTTGGCAGCCAGGTGAGTGACTGTCACCTGAGAGTGATAAAGGCCCCCTCTGTGGCATTTTGTTACAGCACCTACATGGTCATTACCTGGCCGTCATTTCAGAACAACTTCCAGAAGTAGAGAAGTGGAAAGGTATTAGGTCCAGCTCACGAAAGAGAAAGCAGGCTCCACCCAGTCGGGCAACAGGTCAGAGGACCTGGCTGCAGAGAGCTGGGACAGGCACCCAGGCCTTGTCACAGCAAGCCTGGGTTTCTCCTGACCCCCGCCACCTGCACCTGCACACATATCCCATCTCCTGCAGCAACGTGCGCCCTGGAGGGCAGACGCCCGGCCCCCGCCCCTCCAGCCCCCTGCACGGGGCTGGGTACACAGGAGCGGCCCGGATACGGTGTGGGTGCTGATGACAAGGGAGTGTGTATGTAGCAGGGATGGAGCCCGAGTTCGAAGCCATGATGGGGAATCACTGTCTGAACGTGCAAGTCGGGGGCACGGCTTTTTAAGGCAGGTGGGGAGTGGCCACAAAGCCTGATGCAGAAGGCCCGGTACGAGTCGCCACTCCCGAGCCATGGAAGCAGGGACGAGTTCCTTCACCTTCCGAAGCTCCGTCTCCAACGTGAGTACCGGGATGGGGGTGGGGGGTGGGGTGGGGATGCCTGCATCTCAGGCAGCTCCCCACAGGGAGAGAATGAACACCAGATCACCCCGCGTCTCACGGGACAGCACTCAGAGACACAGGTGCCAGAGCAAAAGGCTGCTGGGACTTTGTTTCGGTTTCACACACAGGCTGCACTGTGGCAACAATCAAGGGATCTTGGGGGCGTGAAGCCTCAGATGGCTGCTTGGACCGACGGGGAGATCCAGCCTAGGCTCCTGTACCTTGGCCACCTTGGCAGAGCCTTCTGCAGGGGCGGTGGGCACCCGCCCATGGCTGTGCCCCTAGATGATTCACCCCAGAGCCCTTGCTGGGACATCGAGGGGACAGATCATCCACAATGCGTCCAGAACCGAACTCCTGCCCACCCCCACCTCCCTTGGCCCATCCCATTTTCCCCAGCCACTGGAACACACGCTCCATGAGGACCAGGGTGTTCACCACAGGGCCCCAGAACAGTGGTCGGCACAGGAGAGGACACTCATAATGCGTTTGGTGAACAAAAGAATGAATGAATGGAGAAAGGAATGAAGGGGGCCCTCTGAAGCCCGGTTTCTGCAGCTGAGTGCCCAGGGGTACAATATGCTCTCTCTCTGACAGCAAGACCACAGCCCTTGGCACCCAAGGGGGGGGTCTCTGATCCAAACAGAGCGCAAAGGACAGGGTTGGTGCAGGTCATTCCTGGACCCCATGACGCTCCCTACAGTCCTGCTGGGCAGGGTGAATGATCCCCTCTGAAACCACGAGCATTCAAAAGAGAAGAGCTGGGTTGGGCTGGACTGGCAACCCGGCCCACAGCGGCCCCCCCCCCATACAGTTTCCACAGGCGACAACAGCTTCCTTAATAATGCGATTCGACAGCTGCACGGGGCTGATAAGGTCTGGCGCCCAATGGACCGCACGGAGGAGGGCCCCTCCTAGGGCTGAAATCCCTAGAGACTCAAGCAGGAGCCAGGTGGGTGGGAGGATGGCCCTGGCTGGGTCACAGTTCTGTCAGGGACTTCCCAGCACCCTCCCAACCCCCCCTACCCTTCCGCCCCCCCCCCCCCCGCCCCCCCCCCCCCCCCCCCCCCCCGCCGGGGCCCCAGGCTTGTGGACAGCCTCTGCTCGGTGAGAAGAGTAATTACTTCCTTAATCCTGTGCAGGAGGGAGAAGGGAAGAGAAGCGATCAACTGACAAGTTCATTTATCTCAGCAGAAATGGAGGTGCCGAAAGGGCAAGGGCCTGCTCTGATCCCTGATCCCCGATCCCCATTCAAGCTCACTGCCCTACTGTGGCTGCAACAGCAGCCTTTGCAAGGGCCTGGGGGTGGGGACAAAGCCCTCGTGCTGGGCCAGCCTGTGGCTCACGGGCCTGCTGGCTCAGATGCTGAAGGGGAGCCTGCCAACCACCAAGGACTCTGGTTATTTGAGCACCTCTGTGCTCTAGGATTATCATCTCACGTTCACAATAGCTGAGACCCATGGCTGGCTGGGCAGTGAACGCCCCAGATCCCATGGGTTACCACCAGGACTGGGACCCCGGGCAGTCTAGCTCCAGACCTTCTGATATCTGAGCCAACATCAGCCTCCCAAGAGCTTCCTGGGGGCACCAGATAGAGACTAATTCTGCCAACCGGTCAAGATCTCCTGGGGCACCGTGTACTTTGTTCACACTTGAGGGCTCCCCTGACTCCGTTGTTCATCACAGAAAACAATCCTCCAGGTGGTAGGCAATAGGGCAGCAAAGGAACACTACCACCTCTTTATTCTAGAAGCATCTTTGGCCTCATTAGTGCTGGGCACTTTGGTCATGGTTCGCTCATTTGGAAATTTATGTCCACAACAATTCCCAAGGAACCCTCGGAGATGCTAGTGATGCACTCCGTGCATTCTGTGTGCGAGCGCCCGGGTGTGTGTGCACAAGTCCAGGGGCTCATGGATGCCCTCTGGTTTGTCTGGGGCTAAGGCAGACAGATTTAAGCCACAAAACCCCCAGCAAAGAGCTGACATAGGGGCCCCTGGCCCAGTGGCCCCGTCAGCCCCTCTCTCATAGGTCTTCCCAGACCTGCCTCCCTCTTCGAACCTCATTTCTCACTTCCCTCTCTTTTCCAGGACTATCAGGACCCTGTCACCCACAGAAAGTTTTCTGGTTCTTGGAATGGTTTCCCATTCCCTGCTCATGTGATCACAACAGTCTCGTGAGGTGGTTAGGAGATGAGTTATTCTATGTCACAGATGAGTAAGGGAGGCTGTGCGGGTAAGCTAGTGAGAAGGCACAGAGATTAAGTGGGCAGACAGGCCTGAACCATGGGGGCGGAGGGGAGGGCCCAACCCCACCTTTTCAGCCCTGGCTCGGGCCCTTCCCATGCTGCCCTGAACTACTTCCCACAAGGTGGGTCACCCGCAAGCCCCTGAGATAAAAGCTTCTGGGCAGCATACCCGAATAACGCGCAATACACATGAGATGCAAACTAGCCCACCTTGAAGGTCACCCACAACTCCCGGGCCTCTGGGGTAACTGAACTGGCCCTGGGGATATAGCTCCAACCTCCTGGCCTCGAGTCCTCCCTTGTCTCAGCTCAGAGGAGGAGCCGGAAGGCCCCCTGCTTTCTCCCCACCCCGCCCCATCACCAACCACGCTGGGTCCAGCCTGGGACAACTTCAGGAGCGAGGAGGTGATGTGGAAGACGGTAGCCATTTAGACTGGAATGAGGAAAAGGAGTGAGCTCCCTGTCCTCTGAGGGACCCAAGCAGAGACTGCCACAAGGGATTCATCCCTTGGACCTAATACAGATAAGCTGACTCCCGTGGACCCTGAGGTCTCAGAGGAAGTACACTGAGTTCACGAGCAGCAAGAAGCCCAGGGACAAGGAGCCTAGAAGCCCAAGGATGCACAGTCAGGTGGTGGCAAGGCTGGACCCATGTCTCAGGGGCCCTGCTTCCCAGTCCAGCGCTCTGCAACTTACTGTTGTGTGACCTTGACAAGTCCATTGCCTCCCTGGCCCTCAGTTTCCCAAGCTCTGCGATAAGGCGCTGGGCTAGCTGCTTCAACCCCCCGAGGTCTGTCTGTGCAACGTCTGGGATTCTACAATGTCACAGAAAGGTGCAAGTCAAAGGATCTCTAAGCTTCGAGGAAGAAGGGAGTCGTGAGTTCCTCACCTCCACGTCCTCAGTCTGACTCTGTCCAGTCCCAACCTTCTGTCTGCTGTTAACAGTCTGCCCGGGCACGGGGAGCCCTTGCACTTGAGGCGTGGGTACGTCTGCCCCTTTGATTTGTGCAAGTCCCCTGCCCGTCCATCTCAGCCACCGTGATCCTGCCATGGCCATGCCAGCTGAGTCAAACAAAGTACGCTCATCAACCAAAGGGACAACCTCTGGACTTGGGGACAAATGAGTAGTCCAAGCTGGACGATGGATGTGGGTCCCTATGCGGGTGGGCAAGAAAGTTGTACCACCTTTGATTAATGACCCTTTAGTGATCCAGAGGGAGAAAGAGATCTCCAAAGATACGCTTTTATAGGTACTCCATTGTATAGGTCCCTAGTTTCAAAAATCCATGCACCACCCCTCAGCGCATGCCAAACCCAGCCCAAGAACAGAGTTCTTCGCCATATACACACTGTATGTACAACACATGCCCACGCACCCACACAAGAACACATCCGCGGATAACACGCACTGGGCACACGCACATCAGGCATATAGGTACAAACACCTGACGTGGGGAAGAGATTTAGAGATCGAAAATCAGGGGCCTTGGATTTGAGGCCAGCCTACACTGGGCATGCCTGCATAACCATGGACAAGACCCTCGAACCTGAGACTGTCTGTAAAACGGAGCAGCACCACCACCTGCCCCCAGAACTGCGGTGAAGACCAAAGGAGCTGGTGTGGGTAGGTCTTGAAAGCTGTAAAAAAAAAAAGCTCCTGGGCTGTCTACACTTAAACCTGAACTATGCTAGGGAACTAGAATCAGCAGCCCGAAAAGCACCTGATGTTTTAGAAAAGGATTTGGCATATGAGTCAAAAGGCTTGCTTTTCTAACCCAGCTCTGTTTTCTTGTAACCGGGGGACTTTGAGCAAGTCCCTCCCTCTCTCCCAGCCTCCCTCCCCCCTCCCCCCGTAAAAGGAGAGGGTTGGAGAGGGACTCCCTACTTCCTAGTGGCTCTCAACACCAGAGAAAAGAAGGTGGCAGGAGCCCTTTCCAAGAAGAGCAAAGCCAGCTTCCCTAAAGCACCTGGTTGAACAGGTGTTCTGGATGCCCCTGCGGCCGCTGGAAGGGGTCTGGGCAGGCGTAGAGCTGGGCAACTGAGCCCTAGTTCGCGTGGGGGCACCTTCTGATTCATGCCTCGCTTTCCCGGGCTCTTCCGTGCGTCCCGGGACAGCTGGGCAGGTCCCCGTGCGTCCCGGGCAGGGATCCGGCTGGGGGTGGGGGTGGCACGGCCAGACCCCCTCCCGGCGACGCCCCCTCCCCAGGACCCTCTCAGGAGCTCGCGGATGCGCGCCCTCGGTCCCGGGACACCTCCTTACCCAGAACTTGGAGCCGCACAGGGCGTCCATGGGGTCGAGGCTCCAGGGCCAGGAGGCGAAGGCGGGTAGCCTGCCCAAGTGGGACCTCCGCAGCGCCCCGGAGCCGCCTCCGCCCCCGCCCCTCCCCGCGCTCCGCCCCCTCCCGACCCTATCCTCAGCCCTTCGGGTCGAATCTCTAGTGGCCGAGAACTGCGACAGAGCCTCCCTGAGACTGTGGCTTCTGGAGGAACTTTGAGACAGGGGTGGCGGGCCACTGACACAGCGACAACTCCTTCAAGTGGCCAGTGGGCCGTGCTGGAGAGATGCCCCTCCAGGTACTGAGGCTGAGAGGGCTGGCGCACGGGTCTGTTTCCAAGGGGCGCACCCCTGCTTCCACCGGGCACAAGTCTGCCGGCCCAGGAGTCATGGAGACGTGGAAAGTGACTTAGCAAGACTCCCTCCGTGAATACATCCTCGATGAGGTCGCGTTCAGCTGTGGGTCTCAGTCTTCTTATCCGTGAAATGGGAATGCTTAGTACTCAGCCAATCAGGAAGTTGACCTCTCCGCCCACAGGTTACCTGGGAACCGGCAGAAACCGGTGGTGCTCCCGGGTGCGGAGTACCCAAGGAGAGGGGGTGGGGAGGGGTCCTAGCGTCATCCAGATGGTGGCTTCCCATGGCCCTCTTAAATGGCTGCCTTGCTGAGGTTCTGTGGCTCCCGGATCTGGTGCCTGCTGCCTCCACTTTTGCTTCCGAGAAACAGGGATAATCCTAGCTGGGAGGGTTACTCTGAGGGTTAGATGGCAACAGCAGGTAAAGCATCCAGCGCCTTGCCTGGCGCACTTGGTGGGCACCCAATAGGTGTTGATTTCCTCCGCTCCAGCCTGGGCAGGGTGGGAGATGGGCAGGTGAAGCCCCAGAAGGAGCCCCCACACGCCCACACTCCCGAGGCTGCGTCTTCACATTCCCCAACTGTAAAACCCGTTTGGGCTCAGTGGCCTTCTCCTGCTTGCCCAGTTTGGCCATGTTAGGTTCCCTCCGGCCTTCTATCGCTCACTCCCCCAGCAGGATCACAGAAGCCACTTCTCCCCTCCTTCTTGGGGCTGAGAAGGAATCCCTCCACCCGCCCCCGCGCCACCTCTCCCCTGCCTTCACCTCCCCAACCCTGTGGTCTTGGCCCCTCTCTGCGGGGTCTGCCCGGGGTTCACCCTGGTGATCCCTTTCCTGGTGCTTGTTCTTAAGTGGTGTTTTCCTCCTTGGGTGCCTAGCGGCAGGCGTGGGGTAGGGGGCGGCAAGATAACACAGGGGCAGCCAGCCACCGCCTGTCCTTCTGGGCAGGCAGGAAGTGACCAGAAGGAAGTCTATGCCCTGAGCTATCAGAACAGAGATCTGAGCCGCGCTGGGCAGAGCAGGGTGGACGAGGCTCCCCCTTCCCAGGCAGAGGGATAGAGGGTCTGCTCCCCCTCCACTGGGTAAGCCCTCTCAGCCCTTTGTCTGCCCCCCTCCCCTCCCCTGACCCAGTCACCCTCCACCCCAGCCCCATCCCAGAGCCCAAGACTTTATAAAGCTTTCACATCTTGTCATAGAGTGCCTTGGGTTATATTTAGTTGTGAAGTACCTGTCTTCCCTGCCAGTCTGAGAGGTCCCCAAGGGCAGGGATTGACGGAGTCACCTCCAACCCCCTCCCTGCCCCGGGCAGTAACTTCTGTATGCCGTGTGACCTTAACAAGGCCCTTGAGGTCCCTGGGACTCAGTTTCTTGAGCAACGTGGACAAAATGCCATCTAAGGTCTCTTCTAGCCCTGCTGATCCAGATGCTTCTGTGGTGAGCAGACCGGGGTTCCTCCTCCAACCCTTCCTCTAGTTCGGGGCCAAGAAAGACCCTTGGGTTCTGTCTTCAGTACTGGGGCTGAAGCACTGTCCTTTCTGGGCACCATCCCACGTCGCCTTTGGAGAGCCCTTCGCAAACTCACGGCATTGGGTGGGAGCCTCTGAGGTCACAGCAAGGGGACCTTGGCTATCCTCAACTTCCTTCCCATCTCTCTTGAGCTTCTTCCCTGGGGGTTTGCGGTTTCTGGTCCCTCTTGGAATGTGGTCCCGTTTGCGTAGCCCTTGAATAACAATCATAAAATTCCTAGGGCATGAATATTTTGATTCCACCAGAGCAAGTAAACTGAGGCCCTGAGGTGTCTTGTCCCAGCAGAGGAGTGATGAGCTCCGTATCTTCTGAATGCCAGGCCGTTTCCATGCAGACACTTTGGGCAGGAATGCGTGTCTGGTATCCTTAGCTGATGCCGTTGTGCCCATGGGCCCCCTTTCAAAGTTGCTTGCCATGGTCTCCTCCCTACACCTCACCTCCCTTTCTGTGCCCGGCAAACTACCTGTCCTTGAAGATTTCACTCAAGACCCACACCCCCCCCCCTCCAAAGCCTACCTTGAACCTCCCTCACCCCAGTCCTGGACTAGAGACCCTTTCTCTGCACAGTCTTCCCCCTTGTATTGTACTCACTGTCTGTCTTGCTCACCTCCCCCAGGAGACTGTAGACACCTTCAGAATAGGGACCAAGCACACTTGTTTGTTGCCGTGTCCTCAGCACCGGGGACAGTGCCTGGCAAAGGTGAACCTCAGGAAATGTTTGTTGACTGACTCGACAAGCATCTCATGCCCTTCGAAGAGGTTGTAAGTAACGAGGCTACTGTGGCCTTAGCTGTAGTCCCAGCAGTGGGCACTGTCTGTCCACTCTGTTTTCAACTTTCCAGAACCAGGATGTTTCCGGCCGGAGGCTCCTGTGTAGCAACAAGGACTTGTGGCTTGGGCTCCCGGGGAGACAGGGACTGCACTCCCCCAGCTTTGTGGTCCCAGCCGCATCCTCCCCTCCGACTGACTGCAGCTCCGGGAGGGATGGGCCGAGCGTGTGCTGTACCTCCCTGGCCGGGGAGCATCCCAGGGGAACCCACTGGAGATTTCCTGGCAGGGAGATGGAAAGAGAAGATAATTGCAAGGCACACCTCTAAGCAGCAATGACAGCAGAGACAAGAAAGCAGAGCAAGGCAGGGACGGGGAGACCCGGGGGCAGAAAACGCTGTAAACGGGGACAGTCAGGTGGGAAGTCCGGCAAGGCGGGGTGTGGAAAAGCAGAGCTCTCCCCTTTACTCACTACCGGATTCTTTTCAGCCCCTTGTGGCTCCGTGAAGGCCCGGAGCACCCCCAAAACAGATCCAGCCCCCACACTCCAGCCTGATGGAAGCCACACCGGCCCCCCCGCCTCGTGGCCTCGGCGAGGCTGCCTCTTCGCTCCCAGCCTGCACTTGATCTGATTTGGCATGCATGTGAGCACGGGCTGCTGTGACCGATGCAGGAGTTCTCAAAGCAAGAAGAATGAATTAGCTCCGTGGGCCACCGTCAGCAGCTCCCACCCCTGGACCGGGACTAAGCCAGAGTTCTGAAGTTCTCAGCAGATATCCCCCCCTGGGTGTTTGCTGAGGTGCCGCCTCCCTGACCCGCCTCGCCGTGTCCTCAGAGTAGGGAGCCAGTCCACAGCTCAACTCGCTCCTGGTAGCCGTTGTCCTGGGGTTAGTCCTGGGTGCACAGGCCCTAGGCAGGTGTCGCTGAGCACTGTGGACTCACCACTCCCATGGCGGACGAATCATGCAGACAAGTCCTTCATTGCGTCTCTGAGCCTGTTTCCTCCCATGGAGGGCCATGCAGAGCACCCCCCTGTAGAAGGTGCCCATCAGTGTGGTGTCCTCTCCCTGGCTACGTCCCTCGAGGAAGGGGCACGGGGGTGGCACCAGGTGAAGGTACCTTGTGCTGCCACCTGCTGTCTGATGTCCTCACTGCACCACGGTCGCCAGCCCTCCAGGTTGGGTGACGGCTGGCCCAGGAAAGGAGAGAGGAGGCCACGGTTGTGATGGGTGGGGACTAAGGGTGACATTAGAGGTGAAAGCTGTTTGCCAAGTGGGAGAGGTCTGGGTGGGGCACGGGGAGAGGACGGGAAGGACAAGGGGGTGGCAGGCGGGGGAGGGGAGCCAGTGCTCTGTGGTTCAAGGGCAGCATTATGCCGGGGAAAGGTGGTATCTGGGAAACTGCGTGATTGCAGAGACAGCCTTGGCCAGCCTTCGGAGAAGCAGCCAGAGCTCAGGGATGCCTTCTCTTGCGGTTAAGCCTCTCTCCTCACACGAGGTGAAGGACCGTGGACTCCTTTAAGCCTCTGAGTACGCCAAGCTGGGAGCTTGGGCGTGCATTTCTACGAACACAAATGTGACTGCCTTGGAAAAGGCCTCCCTGGCAAGTCGTTTCATGATCGGGATTCCTTGCCCCATGTCCCATTCCCTCGACAATGAGAAGAGGCTGAGGTGGATGAAGCCGATGGGCTAGAGGTTGCCCAGACACATACGATGCAACCCCAACCCTGCCACTTCTTGCCTGTGTGATCTTGGGCACGTCACTAAACCTCTCTGAACTCACTGGCTCGTGCAAAACCGATAGCAGTGCTAGCCTCCTTGTTAGCGTGTTGGGAAGAATAAGCGAGAGATTACAGATGAGCCTCAGATTTGTTTTTAGCATCAGCTCAGCTCTCTCCTCTTTCGGGTCCCCACCCCCCACACCCAGGCAGACCTTTTCCTGGAGTGTTGGGGGGGAGGAAGCAGAAGCTGCCAAGCCCAAGGTGGGGGCCTGTGGCTGTTGACACAACTCCCTCCGAAGCCCCCACATCCCTGAAGCTCCTGGCCAGTTCCTGCTCCTGGAGGCCTTAATCCAAGACCTGCTTTGCCCCCACCAGCTCCTCCCCCCATCCCAGCCTCCTTCAGTCTCTTCCAGTCCCTGCTGTACCCTAGCACAGATAGAACCATCCGGACAAGCGTCATGAGGTTTGCCTCATCATCATTACTACTGTTAATAAGATTCAGCAGTGTTATTATTTCCACTTTTAATGAGACACATCAGCTTCCATTGTTGATAAAGATTTTACATTGTTGGGGGAGAGGCCACAGTTCTGTCCCCGAAAATGCCCACGTTGACTCCGGGGGCTCCCGGGGGGGGGGGGGCAGGGG